CGGACATTGAAAATCTGTCCGGCATCTCGGGAAGTCGAACTGTAACCAAACATCCACCATAGAAACGGGCACTTGCGTGATCAATGTATGAGTCAGCTGCGTGGTAAGCAAAGGGTACTATACGAATTACCATGCTGGCCCGGGCCATCCGTCGTTATCAGCCTGGTATGTGTTGAAGACTGGCCTTAATCTGCAACCATGTAGCTATAAATCCGGGACATCGCTCTCTTCATCCAACTAGTACACCATGTCCATCCCTCCATTCGATTCCACTGCCTACTCCACCTATACCCAACCACCCAATCCATCCTGGACGTACGGCCAGAAAATCGATTCCACTCCTGCCGGAAGAGCCTGGCTCGCAGGTGAATCTGCAGGGTGGAAAGTCTATGACACAGCAGAGACAGACAAGACGTACGTACTTCTTGACCTGTTGTTCAGCCCGAATCGTGATCGCGATCGACAGCGAACTCTACAAGCTCTTGATTTCAGGCATCGTACCACGCCCCATCGCATTCGTGTCCACGATCACCGATGAGGGCGTAGAGAACCTGGCACCGTTCAGGTAAGACGCCCTCCCGTTATTTAACACGCTCTGCACGCTTATCCACCTCGCACCACTAGTTGGTTCAACACAGTGAGCAATACATAAAACATGTCTCTTCATCTGTTCAATATACCCACAGGTCACGAACAACCCGCCTATAATCTCATTCGCATGCAACCACAGCGCTCCGGGCCGCCTCAAAGACACGGCCGCGAACTTGAAGAACAGCCAAGGGTTCACCGTGAACATCATCAGCGAGCCATTCGTCGAGAATGCAAACGCAACTGCTATAGACGCTCCTCCCGGCTTCGACGAATGGTCTATCAGTGGTCTGACAAAGGAGAAATGTGTATGCGTGCACCTCTATAACATGATATCTGCGCTAACAACCAGGTATTCAGGTGCAAATCAAAGCATCCCGCGTCAAGGAAAGCGCTTTAGCATGGAGTGCGAGGTAATTTCATTTCTCCTGCCCAGTCCTCTCGCTCGCTAACAACGCCGCCTCCTAACAGCTCTACAAATCCATAGATATCACCCACCCAGTCACGGGCGAGCAAAGCAGCACGCTCATCCTCGCGCACGTCAAGTACATCCACGTACGCAAAGACGTGCTCACAGACAGAGGTGTCATCGACCTCACAAAGTTCAGGCCCGTCGCGCGTTTGGGTGATATCTCATATGCGCGCGTTGGAGACGCATACAGGCTCGCCCGTCCAACATGGGCGCAGGAGGAGACGAAGATACAGGACGCGTTGGCGACTCTTGCATCACTATGAAATAGAACGAAAGAGGTAGCGTGCCGTTTATTGGTAATATATACCATAGCCTATAGGATGGGGAATGTATATCAGCATCCATTATTTATGTCATCCACGCGTGAGAGGATGGGGCCGAACTTCGTCGGCAGGAACCTTAGTAAACAGGGTAATTAGTCAAACGCCAGACCCACGACGGCCCACAACTCGCATAACCACCCTTGCAGAAGTTCTGAGTCGGACTTGTATCCTTCGACTGCATCAACCACATCCACGTATGTCGCCCGTCGAGATACACAATTGATCTCTAGCCACCTTGTCATTGCCAAGTACTGTTTGTCGTTCTATTACATCTGACAAACGGTGTCGCAACCTATCGTCAGCCTTTGTCAATGAGTTTTCAACGTCCGAGTCAGTGTCTTTATCTTCCCATGATATCTTCTCCTAGTATCTGACCCGATCATCAGTTCTTGGCGATCCTTGGGAGAAGCTGTCCCAAGTCGCTGTATTGGGCGCCGAGTATGACTCTCCTGAACGCCAGCCCCATCCGAGACTTTTGGAAGGGTCCTGGGTAGATCTTAACAACTGCATCCTCGAATTATTGGACAACCAGACGAAGAATCAGCTCATTTGGCTTCATGGCGCGATGGGTGTCGGAACGTCTGCTATTTCATTCAACGTGGCTGAAGGGATGAAAAGTCTGCAAGTGACTGCTGAGACCAAACTTGAAGTGCGGTTAGGAGGGACATTTTTTTTCTCGCGCGGGCACGCGAAACGCTCCATGAATGGATTTTTTTTCGCGACGCTTGCCTACCAGCTTGCCAGGAATTTTCCTAGCGTGCGGACGGTGGTGAACGAAGCTATTCGCAATCATCCCGCTCTTCTAGACCCCGGCGCGTCTCTTCGCGACCAGATGGAGGCGCTCTTTCTCCGACCTCTCAGGGCACTGCAGTTCAGGCTGCGTAACTGTCCACCTATAGTATTTATTGTTGATGCCCTACATGAATGCACATCCAAACATGAAGTTGCCGATCTCATATCCCTGCTCTGCCAAGTGCTTCGTCGACCTGATTTGCCCCGGTTCCACATCCAGTTCACGAGTGGCTCGCAAGCACATATCCGTGAAGCCTTCCAGAAAGAGGAGATGCGCCCCCTGCTGTGCGAGATACGAGGAGGATCTTCGGGAGAGCTTCTCGCCATAAACATGGCATCCCGTGACGCATGCATACCTGGAGATTTGCCGCACATCCTCGATATAAACACAACAACGTACAATGCGTGCATAAATGGGGACTTACCAGCCGCCGAAGGACTGTTGACTCAAGAGATTGACACCGATATCAACAGCCACCGCGCCTACGCAAATCGCGCATTTGTTATGGCACGAAAATATGACTGGGACCATGCACTTGAAGATGCACTTAAGGTGTGATGCACTTACCCATCGTTGGTCCCTGTAAGATAGATTAACTTTCATGGTGACGCAGTCCGTCAGTATTCAGCCCTCGTTTTTTTTTTTTTTTTTTTTTTTTTTGATTCTAATTTATTGTCCGTTGGGGCGTAGCCCTATATTAGACATTACATGCACTATGTATACGATCCTCCTCGTTTTCCTTCCACTGCTATGACGTCTTTTGTAATGGTTCAAGCGGTGAGGCGAGAACGATGGCGCCTGTTTAGAAGCGGCCGATATTGTTAAGAGGGGTGCGGGATTTGCGACTGCCTATGGTCCTTGTGCGTGTGCATCTTCCTTCGGGTCAGGGGGGGAGACGTCGCCGAACAGGACCCTGGCTGCTCCCTATACCGCATGTCCGCAGATTTTCAAAATTTTCCTCGCGGGGCGCAACACTTTTGGGCCTTGCGGGGCGCACTTCGGACATGCATGGTAGCCAAAACATACCCAAAAAGGAAATTTTCCGAAACATATCACCGTGCTACTGAAGTACCTAGGCAAACCCACGGTTCTGCCTCTTGCGAGACCGTACCACGAACTGCAACGCAAGAATCTCGCGCACTGCCACCATCCCAGCTGCTTCCCACCTGTAGACAGTAATAAATTTATGTTTTACGGTGTTTCATAGACTTCAAACTTACCGTTCAAAGGCCCATGGTTTCATAGCGTGATACCGGCCCTCTGAGACACTCAGCGCAGTTGTTCCGAGATTGTAGACAAGCTCCTTGATACTGGCAAGTGTCCATAAGTGTCCTGTAGACTTACTGTGGTGCCAAAAAGAGTTTTCATGTTCTTCGGGATGTGTCTTTCAACAAACCAAAATTTAGCGTGAACAAGCAGCGACACAACAACAACTTACCTGAATAAAAACACGTAGTCCTATGTTCGTCAATGAAGGAACATCTTTGCTACCAGCAAGGAGAACACTCTCGTGTCGAGTGCCTTTACCGCCACCATTCTTCTTGTACATACAGACCACTTGGCCGAGATAGCGGCCCTGCGAGCGTTGCATGATGACATATGACCCAATTGCTAGCAGCGATATGTCATTGACATTTCGCGTCACAATCCCAGGAACTGAAGTGCAAAAATCAGGTGTCAGTAATTATGAGCAATTAAATGTGATACTAACGATGATTTTCGAGGTGCGGCACGGCTGAGATGAGCTGCTTCGCAATGGTCCAATTGCCAATACCGGAAGAATTTGCAGCAGGAACTGACGTTGTACCACTATTGTTACAGGCGGGGTTTGCCTGGGTAGCTGTCCAACGTTCAGCACGTGAGTAGCCGCCATGTCGTTTGTGCCACTTGATCCCTTCGTCAGCTCGTAGTCAACCAGGGCCTGTTTAGGGAAACCGGACATCTGTTTGAGCTTTGTCGTCGGTCAGTGACTCAGTGTACCATTCACATGACCTTCGATCCGGGATCCACAGCCTCTCGGGGCGCTACCGACGGACATGGGGTATGTGCTACAGGCTTCCGGGGCGCAACTTTTAGGACCATAGGATGGGTGATTTCGAGGACATTTGAGGTGCTACCGGTGGACATACAGTATAGGGAGCAGCCGGGGTCCTCGCCGAACTGCACTTGATTGTGTAGGGTGAATATATCAAACTGGCTTATAAGCCTAAAAATGTGATACATCCAGTGTCCAGCCTATCCATTCAGTCCATTCAGTGGTGATATATCATCTGTCCATCCATATACACAGCCGCATTTTTCGCATTTTTGAAACTCAGCCATTTGTCATTCCAGCATATGTTATGACTGGCTTCCAAAAGCAGAAATTCACAAAACATATCCCATTTTGGTCACCTCCTCATGTCAGGCCTTCCCACACTATTCCCACACATCATATTTCCGCATTTTTCAGCCACACAGTGTGGGAATTACCCCACAACACCAAAAACATTGCTCAATTTGGTCACCCCACAATATCAATTATTCCCACACCCTTCCCACATCATTGCAGCTTCACCACCACACCACAATAGCTCCCCCTTCATATATAAGTAGTAGTTTAGTATATATATGTATAATATTATATAATAGACCGCTTTTTTTGTCTATTTGTGTGCCTGCTCCTCCTCCAGGGCCTTTTCAAAATAGGGTAGGGTACAGAACATTTTCGCACTTTTGCCCCTTTGATAGGGGTGTGTTCTATTATATTCAGAACATGTTTATGAGCATATATGAGTAGATTCCCATCTTTATTTCACCCTCTGAAGTGTCCTACATCAATAGATATAGCACATATGCAATAAAACACAGAATATGTTCCTATTTAATTATTTCTAGATGAACAGACTTGGAAAATTTATTTCCAGCATCTATTCAACAATAGGAACAATGTATCAGGAGCCCAGGACCATAGGATACTCCCCTGTTGCATGGTGTGCCCCCCTCTCCTGGTGGTTTACCCCCTGTGAATTTTTTTCCTGTAGGACCGGACCTCAATTGAGGTAGGGGGTCTATTTCTATGTATATTTGAGGTAGTTCTATCATATAGCTGACCCAGGACACACATAGGATCCTGCTACAGGAACAAAAACATAGAAAATCGCATTTTTGACACTTTTAATGTTTTTCAGTGTTTTATACTTGCACAAATGACCAGCCCTGCTCATATATAATTAGTAGTATATTCACACATATGTTCTATGCCAAGGATCAGCCCTACATAGGGTGCAAATGTGATATATGATGTACAGGGGGTATTTCTACTGATAAGAAGCCTACATAGTATTCAAGCCTGTGATAAGTGATCAAAGACCTGGGGTACATCCTATATATTGCCCTGAAGATATATTTGAAGTTTTAGAAAGATCCATCAAGGACTGACTGAATGACAAGTAAAATCACATATGTGTGAAAAGTGACAATTGACATCTTTTCACACAAAGTTACATTTCTATATGGTACAGCTCAAATATTTCATTAAAAATATGTAGGATACATTGTAAACTACTAAAGGAACCTATACTACATACTGCCCTGAGGCTAGAGGGTGGTAGAAGGAATGTGGTATATATCTGAGTTGACCCAGCATTAAAGTCCAACTACTGCCCAACTGACCATTTTCGATGTTTTGGGTATTTGAACTTTCCCACACTCAATTCCTTATCTATTTCACTTCCTCAGCACTCAATTCTTGTTGGATTGTTCTGTACATTTAGGCTTATGATACTAAATATATTTGACATCTACTCCAGGTGTCTGATTATTAAATTTCAATGTATTGAAAGTATGGGCTCCTTATCAGTAGAAATAGCAAGCATTCACACTAACTCAAACCCCTGGCCTATTTTGAGCTGATCCTTGTCACAAAGAGCAAGTATATATACTATAATAATGATATATGAACAGGTTGTATTATTTGTGCAAGAATAGGATACTAAAAACATCAAAAGTGTCAAAAATGCGATTTTCTATGTTTTTGTTCCTGTAGCAGGATCCTATGTGTGTCCTGGGTCAGCTATATGATATAATTACCTCAAATATACATAGAAATAGACCCCCTACCTCAATTGAGGTCCGGTCCTACAGGAAAAAATTTCACAGGGGGTAAAACACCAGGAGAGGGGGGCACACCATGCAACAGGGGAGCACCCTATGGTCCTGGGCTCCTGATACATTGTTCCTATTGTTGAATAGATGCTGGGAATAAATTTTCCAAGTCTGTTCACCTAGAAATAATTAAATGGGAGCATATTCTGTGTTTTATTGCATATGTGCTATATCTATTGATTTAGGACACTTCAGAGGGTGAAATAAAGATGGGAATCTATTCATATATGCTCATAAACATGTTCTGAATACAATAGAACACACCCCTATCAAAGGGGCAAAAGTGCGAAAATGTTCTGTACCCTACCCTATTTTGAAAAGGCCCTGGAGGAGGAGCAGGCACACAAATAGACAAAAAAAGCGGTCTATTATATAATATTATACATATATATACTGAACTACTACTTAGATACAAGGGGGGACCTATTGTGGTGTAGTGGTGAAGCTGCAGTGAGATGGGGAGGGTGTGGGAATAATTATAATTATGTGGTATTCCATATTGGGATGATGTTTTGGGTGTTGTGGGGTAATTCCCACAGTGGGTGGCTAAAAATGCGAAAATGTGGAGTGTGGGAATAATGTGGGGAGGCCTGACATGAGGAGGTGACCAAAATGGGATATGTTTTGTGAATTTCTGCTTTTGGATGCCAGTTATAACATATGCTGGAATGACAAATGGCTGAGTTTCAAAAATGCGAAAAATGCGGCTGTGTATATGGATGGACAGATGATATATCACCACTGAATGGATAGGCTAACCACTGGATGTATCACATTTTTAGGCTTATAAGCCATATTTGATGTATCATTCTAGCACTATGGCCTGTTGGAGTGGTACAGGAACTTCAATTGCATCCCGTTTGCAAAAGTCTCCTCGGCGTGCCTCGGGGCCAGTGCTTTGGCATCTGTCCTCGATTTTCCTTCCTTTCTTAGTCGTGCGAATGCGACGTCGTAAAGGGCATCGAATTTCGTGAATATGACGATCACTGGGACTGAGGATCAAAGTTGCGAATCAGTCGAACAACAGGTGGATGTGAAAGCTTACTGCTCCCGGTGTCACAGTGGGAGAAAAACCTGAGTTCGGCTTGGGTGAAAGATCTGCTTTCCTCATCCATTGGGATACAGTACCTATGTCAAAGAAGTGAGCCAATGCATGTCGCCAAGTTGACCGATTACCATATAGTGTGAATTCGATCCTTGATATCTGTTTTCTTCGAGCGGTCCACGATAAATGTGTTCACCTTGTCGTACTCAGACTCACCGCCTGCTTCGAAACCGCGTGAATCGTGAAAGATGAATCCCGAGTTATTTTGAAACACCATTTCGTTTTCGATATCGTGTTATCCACGCTGAGAACACGTCAGTTCATATTGCCAACTGATGATAGTATGTTACCTCTCTGGATGCGTTCAGAACAGTGGCATCAATCTGATGTCGATAGGACAGTCATCACTATCAGTATTGTACTAGCATCAGGATACGCACCTGTTCCCCAGCGCTATTGAATATTTGGGGGTTCTCCTTGGTGTTGCAAACCCTCTTTAGGATAGTTGTTTTTCCCGCATTGGCTCTTCCTATGATGAGGATTCGAATGCGATTGATTTTCTCTTTTATCTCTGAAGGATCCATGGATGAAGGTAAATGATGCTGGGACTGAGCGATGAGAATTGTTCAGCGCTGCGAGTAGGCTTTATCATACTAACCACTGGTGCGAACGCCCTCAGGCTAATGCGGTGGGCATCATGTACCACATCCGGTGACGGCATTCCAGATGGGCTTCTATTTGATTACCATTTGGTGAGATGAATTTTTACCCGGCGCACCTGATCATTCTCTCCACATAAATCCACCGTCAACGTTGCTTCCCGTGTGAAAGAGAGCCTTCCCTAGTGACTTTCCATCAGCATGGTCAATTTTTTTCACACCTCAACGGTTTCCTATCCTCTTCACATCTCTGGTACCCAACTCCATGATAAGTAAGCAAAATGCATGCCACTCTTGTCAACAAAAACGACGTGCGTTGGATGTGACAATGTTTGAAAGGTTGGTAGACTTACTAGACTTCCAGAAGCCCTCATCATATCGATACACTATGGATAGAAGTCATGAAGCTACGAAGGCAAGCTGCCTTGATTGGTCCATTGGTTAAGTCTTCATGATGCCAACGGCCTGGGCTACGATACTCACCCGCATCTCACTCAGCGTTAAGAAAGATTATAGTGCACTCTATGCTGCCAATGGAGTTGCTGACCTTGCTGCACAGCCTCATGGAGATGATGTCCTTGGGGGGCAATTTGACAAGGCTATCGAGTTGTACTCTGTGGCAATCGACCTGGATTTTGCCACTGATACCGTCTTTGCAAACCGCAGTAAAGCTGGGTCGGACAAATGTTATGGGAGGATGCACTCCATGATGCGGAACAGGTGCAATTACATCTATTGTTTCGTATCATTGGATGATCATTCTGGTGATGCGCAGGATATCAAACTCAATCGCTCATCTTACCTTGGATACCACTTGAAGCATGCAGCGCTCATGGCACACAACACTATGATGAAGTAGTCGAGGCCTTCCAGGTCATGCTCTCCAAGTTGGGCAACGCTCCCGACGCACAAGTACGAGGCACGAATGCATGCATCAGAAGACTTGACTCCTTCTCCAGGGCTACGCTGTTATAGTTCTCGCGTGCAAGGCCCACTCGACAGTCATTTTTTGCTCGTCCGTCCCTGGGATCGGCGTCTCCTCGAGCTGCCTGAATTTGCAGACGATATGCTGAATGTGGATGATCTGACCCCGCCCGTGTCTCCGGACCAAGATTCACCTGACGGGCCCTCAAAAGGGCAGGGCCTAGTTGATTCGGAACCAGACGAGCGAGCGTTATATTTGATTGTTCGCCTTGGACAAATTTTTGGCGTGTGTTTGCTAGGCAGGAAATACAAGGGAATCGCGTCAGATCGTGATATCATTGCACAGGTCATAGATGTCGCATCTGTTCACGACATCATGGACATCAGGACACTTGATATATTATAGCTGAATATACGCATTTGTGATGGAAGAACACAGTTCTCTCAGGAGTTTTCATTCTCTATATTAACTTCTTTACATACGTACGCCAGGTCATTGTACCCTTATCTACGGTATCTGACTACCGCAGGACGAGATCGAAACGGCCGGACCCTCTAGGGTCAACCCAGCCATGGGACAGGCATAGATGAATAATGGTGAGCAGAACAGGATGCCAGGCTATAGGTCTCGTGAAGGATATTCAACACTGTCTATGAGATTATACATGTCGGTAACATTGTGCCAAGAACGATGTCCCAGTCGCAGATCATGTGATGATACATCCATGATCGTGCTCATCGGGGCTCAAAGATTTTTACATCAATATTGAGCACTGCAAAATGTTGAACAACAGCAGAGTCTGATATGGCCTAGAATATGCCAGAGCTTTCAAGATGACACCCTGAGCACTGTCGAAGGGTGAAGAACAGTTGGTCTGTGTTAGTCCCACTATTCATGAGTGCAATGTGTATTGTTTATATCAGAGTAAAACAGACATGCAGAACAATGCGATAATAGAGAAGTCCTTCATGATCCGGCCCAGCAGCAAAAAGGAAACCAGCTTTTACCCGGGATCGCCAAAGCAAGCACTGAGACTCTTGGGCTGCATCCCATACTCCTGCAATTTGGAAGTCGAAAGTATGGACAAGATAATATTCCAGTGAGCTAAGCGCATGCCAGTTTCATGAATGAAGGTTAGGAGGAATGACATACCGCACTGGATGCCATCTATAAAGTAAGGCGCGATGGGTGGGAACGCTCTAGCCACCTCGCGTGGACGCCACGTTCTGCCACATGGTTTGCGCTTAGCTCGCTAAAACCTCGATTTGGAAAGTCGCGTGGTTCTTTTCGAGTGCTGACGATTCCTGTGCACCGCACATCCAGCGTTGCGCCGTTCCCTTCCGCACATGTCGAATTTTGTTCCGACGGACAGGTGAGTTCCTGTCACTATAAGCTGACTTGCATTGTGTGATCAGTGTTGACAACCACTCACCATTCTGTAGCTCTCAACAGCCTTCAGGCTGCACACCACTGCCTTCTGTCACTGCAGTGACATCATCCGAGTCCGACGTGCAATTCTCTGCTTTGTCGGACGTCACGTGAGTCATCTTATTTTATTTTATTTCGTCTAATGAAATAAAATGTTGAAAAACACCCCTACTGCAGGCATCCCTGCACCCAGGTGTTGCCCCCCTTCTGCAACCCCCAGCATGGCTATGCTGTCCTACCACCATCTTTGCCTTTCTCTCGCACCACTAACTGGGAGGCCCGACTACGTGACGACTGCCGCAAGCAGTTTCACGCTCGACTCGAGTGTCGAAAGCTCAATGATCCTTACAGTAAGATAGCCTGTCGAGAACGCACTCACGCATTGGAGCAGTATATCCATGATGTCTCCAAGAGCACTGCAAAGATACGACAATCCATGGAGAGGAGCAAAGAGGAGCATGAGCACTGGATGAGGAAGCAGGAGAAGAAGTTGCAGAAGATTGTTGATGTTCGTCTAGCAAAAGAACAGAGGGAGAAGGATTGTGCAGATCAACAAGACTGGCAAGAGTTCATTAGCAGTTAAAGGGCATGGGCAAGTTGTGAGGCCCAGGTTAAGCAATTTGATGAGAGGCTCAGGGAGGGACCACCACCAGGTTGGAAGTTGCCTCAAGGCTGGACATGTTCTCTTCCACCCACATGCAAACTCTTTTAGGTTTCCCTTTGATTGCTTGGTACTTTGATTATGAAATAAAAGAATCTTCAATGAACAATGCTCATCTTGGAGACAAGAGAGATTGGGAGATGAAAGACAGAAAATTGTGAAATAAATAAATGGAAGGACAGGGGGATGGGAGAACGGGAGAACAGGGGACGGGAGACGGGAGACGGGAGACGGGAGACGGGAGACGGGAGACGGGAGACGGGAGACGGGAGACGGGAGACGGGAGACGGGAGACGGGAGACGGGAGACGGGAGACGGGAGACGGGAGACGGGAGACGGGAGACGGGAGACGGGAGACGGGAGACGGGAGACGGGAGACGGGAGACGGGAGACGGGAGAACAGGAGAACAGGAGGACGGGGGGATGGGGAAATATGAGACGGGAGGCGGGAGAATAGAAGAACAGGAGAATATGAGACAGGGAGAACTATTAAATTATACTATAGTACAAAATGTGAGACTGATTCCTCTGCCAGCAGGATTTTTGCAATGTATGATAATTTTTATTAATTATAAAAGTATACAAAAATTCAAATTCAAATTATCTCAAAAATACAATATAAATCAAAACCTGCTATGATTATTAAGAAGACAAGGTGCCGCAGGCACCTTGAGCAGAGCGCGAAGCGCTCTGCTGCCTTCCTGTGCCGAAGGCACAACGGGTGTGGACTAGTCTACATCAGGCTCAGCACGGCTTGAGGTTTAAATATAAGTTTGAGGGTTCAGGGTGTTCAGCCTCGTGACCTGGGCGTCTAGCGGGACACGAAATAGCTTGAGGTTGTCTGTGCAGCTTATATCCAGACCCCAGAACGCCCTACAGCAAATCCATATCGACTGTAGTCAACACCATCTATCACCAGCAGAATGGCAGAAGCAGCGCAGCCCATCGTTCGAATCACCACACCCAGTCGAACATTTCAAGGTCATGATGATAACGTCTTGGGAATTGCAGTCTTCCCCGATGGACGCCGTATGGTGACATGCTCACACGACAAGACACTTTGTCTGTGGAACCTAGACGGCGCTGTGTTGAAAAAAATGGAGGGACATCGTGGCGAAATACAAACAGTTGCGATATCGAGAGACGGGCAATTGATAGCGAGCGGCGGTTGGAGTGGGGAGGTCATTGTCTGGAACAGAGACGGCGAAGCTCTCACGGAACCCATCAAAGTCCACTCCGAAGAGATCCTGTCGCTCGACTTTTCTCCAGACGGTGTAGTGCTGGCAAGTGGCTCATGGGATAAGACAACGGAGCTCTGGGGCGCAGAAACATGGCAGGTGCAAGGAAATCCAATCAATTGTCGCGAAAGGGTGTACTGTGTTCGGTATTCCCCGTCTGCTGAACATCTTGCAATCGCGACAGAAAAGAATATCCAAATAGGGAATCCAAACACCAGGGAATGCATCGCAAACTTCGAGGGTCACGCTGTGTTCAATGGAGCAAGGAATATTTCACTCGCATGGACGCTCGATGGCACACAGCTTCTCTCCGGGGGAGATGGGAAAGATCCCACCATACGGGTGTGGGATCCATCTACCTGGATGCAGGTCGGTGAGCCCTGGATTGGTCATACTAATGTTATCTATTCCATTGCCATGGACCCTACTGGCACCCTTGTCGCGTCCGCATCAGGGGACCACCAAATTCGCCTCTGGCGGCTTTCAGATCGACGAACCATCGCCATACTTGAACAGTTATCGTCTGTCTTCGATGTTACCTTCTCCACCGATGGCAAGCACATCCTCAGCGGAGGTAAAGATGCGATGATTTCAAAATGGGCAGTACCCGATGATGCTTTGGTGGAGGTCACTCCCACTGAACCGGTGTCAGAGGTAAGCTCGTGTTCATTTTCCGTCTGTTCATCATTTTATCTCGTCTCCAGGACACATTGCCGGAGGATGCTTCGAAGGAACAGGTGACAAACAATGTGGGTTTCCGTTCGTTCTCTATTTGTCTTTGCGTTAGCCCTCAATCTTGATACCAAGGTTCAAGAGTCTGCTTGCGAAGCATGTTTCCGCCCTTCACTCTTTTAACGCAACCTGACCATGTGTGATGCAGATCCTCACCATCAACACGGCAGCCCATAATGCATGTATAGCTGGGGACTTGCTTGATGCTGACAGGCTGCTCACTCAAGATATCGACGCTCATGCCAACGACTGCAACGCTCATGCCAATCGCTCATTTGTGAAGTCGCGAAAATTCGACTGGGACCGCGCACTCGATGACGCACTCGAGGTAAGATACACTAGTACCGTTCCATTGTGACCTCTATAAAGAGGCTAACCTACATGGTGGCGTAGAGCATCAGGATTCAGCCTTCCTTGACGGGCTGTATCTCCATGGGCATCGCCCTTTGCGGGAAAAGGAAAATCCAGGACGCGATGAAGGCATTCGACCTCGCGTTCATGTTCGTGGACGCAGATTTGAAAAAAACACATTTTCTCCTCTTGATTAAGGTCCGTCAAATTTGTCTCACATACTTACTCCCTGCTTCATGATGGCTCTCAGGCCATCGCCCTTTTTAATGGAGATCGACATGACGAGGCAATTCTGCGCGTCCAAGAGCTATCTACCACTTGTCCCAATGCCGATACTCTTGCCTGTGGTATCGTGGAAGTGAGTGTTCTTGATTCAGTCCAGATTCATGCCGTTGACAATGATTTTTGCAAATTTCGCACTCCAGACATATCTACACGTCCAAGTGGGAATGAACGCCTTAGATGGGGCACGTCACAACGATGCTGCTGATCACTTCACTGCTGCTGTCAATGCTATCGGTTTCTCGTCTATTTCGGCCATTTATTCTAGATATGATATATTTGTGGTGGTATGTTGATTGTGATACAACTGCAGGTCTTTTTTTTAACGGCCAACTGTGTGTTTTGTCCAGCTATTCGGGTGGGACCTCAAGTCCTTGTGGCAAATTGCACACCAGAATTGGTGTCATACGCTCCTTCTGGCAGGTAGACTTCCAGAAGCCCTCAAAGCATACCGATACATGATGGATAGGGCTGATGGGGCTACAAAAGCACGCTGCCTTGATTGGTCCACTGGCAAGTCTTGGTTATGTCAATCGGCTACAATGCTCACCCGCATTTCACTCAGCTTTCAAGCAACATTGCAGCGTGTCCTATGCTGCCGCCGGAGTCGCCGATCTCGCTGCAAGCGGGGATGCTGCCCTCGCCGCGAATGATTATGACAGGGCTATCGAGCTGTACTCGGTGACGATCAACCTCGATTTTGCAACCGATACCGTCTTCGCCAACCGCAGTATGGCGAGGTCGGGAAAAATGCTGTGGGACGATGCACTCCTGGATTCGGAAAAGGTGCGATGACAGCCATCGTTTTGTATCCGATGCTGATTTTGGGGATGCGCAGGTCATCAAACTCAACCCCTCATCTTACCTTGGATACCAGTTGAAGCATACAGCGCTTCATGGCGCGCACCGATATGATGAAGCAATCAAAGCCTTTCAAGTCATGCTCTCCAAGTTGGAAAATGCACCCGACACAGAAATCACAAGTACGCCCTGAATCACACACCTTTTAACATGGTTGACCCTTTATCCAGACTTGCGTCAACAGTACATCAGTCCACCCGAAGCAGAAGGTGCCATTCAAGAGACCATTAATGCTCACCTTGATAACGCCCCCCATCGTCTATTTAACACCTTCACTGGGCGTTTATGCAATCGCGAGGCACATATATATGCCTTCAAAACGAGCACAGAGTACAAGGAACTTTTGTCGCGCACAATGAAGCATGCAGACCTTCAATCGGAGCGCATCCAAGATGCGGTAGCGAGGTACTTCCGTTATGTCATGCTATCGCACAGGTGGGAAGGGACGGAGCCCCTCTTGCATGACATCCAGGGCAAGGCGGTGTACGACTTGGATCCAGTTGGTGGCATCGCGAAATTGCAGTCATTTTGTGAAACTGCTCGCGATACGGGGTATCGTTGGGCGTGGATCGATACATGTTGCATCGACCAGACTAACAATGTTGAGCTCCAACAATCGGTCAACTCCATGTTTATCTGGTATCGCCACTCAGCACTTACCATCGTCTACCTGTCGGACGTTCCACCGTCGTCGCAGCCTGGCGCACTCGCAAGTAGCGCTTGGAACACGCGAGGATGGACGGTCCAAGAATTCCTGGCCCCAAATATTGTCCTCTTTTATCAGAAGGATTGGACCCTATATCTTGATGATCGCTCTCCCAACCACAAGGATTCCGTTGCAATCATGCAGGAGATGGGAGATGCGACGGGCATAGATTCACACACCCTTGTGGCATTCCGTCCAGGGATGAGAGATGCTCGGGAGAAACTCCAATGGGTGTCTACGCGTGTCACTACCTGGCAGGAAGATATCGCATACTCATTGTTTGGTATCTTCGGCATCAACCTACCTGTCATTTATGGCGAGAAGAAGCAAAAGGCACTCGGGAGGCTCTTGCAGGAGGTTGTAGCTCAGTCGGGTGACATCAGTGCTCTTGACTGGGTGGGACAATCATCCGAATTCAATAGCTGTCTGCCGGCTGACATCACTTCATACAAAGCTCCACCATACACCCTGCCATCTCTGTCCGAAGATGACATTCAGACGTCAATCTCTTCACTCCGACATGCTGCGGCTGAAAATGTGGCTTTGAAACTTTACGCCCAGCTTGACAACCTGAACGCTCCTCGTTTCGGAAGCTGCAGACTGCATCTTCCTTGCATTGCATTCCGTGTCACGGCAGTGAGTCGGAGTCATGCTCGAGACCAGGAGACATACATCACGTATGAAGTCAAGGCAGACGGGCTTCGTGACCTGCTAATTACCACAAAAGACAAGCTGATTTCATCCTCGCGGGCAATTGCCACTCGGCAGACATTCTTACTTGTCCGTCCGTGGGATCGTTATCTCATCGAGTCGTTTGACTCTGGAGACAACGCACAGAGCGTGGAGGAATCCTTTGCGCCTGGGTCTCCTAAAGAGCATGGGTCGGTTGATTCCGAGTCTCAATCACGAGCATCACGATTGATTGATCGCTTGCGGCAACCTCTCGGTGCATTTTTTGATTCGCTTGGCAGTTCTTCTGGAAAGGAGGGGCAGCCGGAGCCAGTTGATTCTGATTCTCACTTACGAGCATTGCGATTGATGGTTTGCCTTGGAAAGCCTTTCCGTGCATTTTTACTGGCACAGCAGCGCAGCGGAGAATATAAGAGAGTCGCAACGGACCGCAATATTACTGCCCAAGTCAAGGACATGACTTCTGTTCGCAACATGATAGATGTCAAGACAGTAGAGATATTATAGTGGTTACTTTATTTTGAAGCACAGACGCCATTCCGATTTATGGCATGACTGCTACTACTTTATTTTGGACTCGGTGTATATACATATGGTGGCTCGAGCAGCAGCAGTCTGCTAATGCACTGGCACATAGTCGTATGCTTATCAACAAATCATCATCGCGATACGGGCGACCCATGAATAGTGGTAGTCAGAGTGAACGATTTTGAGACGATTCAGCGTGCGATTCAGAAAACGATTTCGGACGCTGATAATCGGATTTGACGTTGAATCGCGTTGAATCGTCGAAGCGCCTCTGGAGGTGCTTCACGCGATTCTGAATCGGATTTTGGACTGTAAACAGCTGCATTTCTCTTATTTAAAAATACAAATATCTAATTAAATATACTTGTCCTGCAAATAAGCACCTCCCCCTCCACACTCAAGTAGCATGGCACCCAGAGGAAAACACGTCCAACGAGCATCTCCGCTGAAAGCCCGTAAAAAAGCGCCCGTTAAAAAAGGCAAAAAAGCGCCGCCAATGGGTACCAAGGTCGAAGTCGGAGATACCGCGGAGGCTATCGAAAAGGTCAAGGATGAGAAAGATGACGAGGAAGTCCCTGATATCGAGTGCGTGAAATATATCAGAAACATAGTACATAACTCACCTTAGGAGCTGCCAGTTGGACAGATACTTTGACGTGGTCCCTCGTTAGCGCTGTGACATCTGATGACACCATCCGAAAAGGATTGTACCCTGAACCAGGTGCGAATGCATCGACGAAAAACGGAGGAGGCGCAAAGAAAACAGAACACCACTGGGCACTCTGCAAGGTTCTGTTTGATGGCCATGCGGAGTATGGCAGTGCATTCGAAATTGCACTTGGCAACCTGAAAGAAAAAGGCCTGCGACAAGCATGGGTTCGAAAGATCAAAAACCGAATGCAGATGTACGCCATCGTTTGGTTCTGTGATGTTTTCATACTGACCTTTTGGCAGCTTAGAACGAAAAACCCTTGTCTATGTCAAGGAGATGGGAACAACAGGAGCTGGCATTGAGCGTGAGGAAGATATCGACATGAGTCAGGTGAACAACTTTACCACAAGATGGGGTAAGTACCACTAACTCGGACATTGTTTTCCGTACTGAGACAACTTCGCCAGCACAAATTAAAGAAGAATTTCCGTGGTTCTTCGAGATGCGTGCTCTTGTCGCCAATCGTCCTAGTCGGATTCCTACCGGTGTTGGTAATGCAGATTCGGCTGCCGACTTTTCAATTTTGTTACCGAATGATGGCGAAGAATTTTCCGAGTCGCTGAGTGAGCCCTGCGGGATTATCTGATGTAGAGCCTGATGGAGATGCTTCTGTGGCTAGTGGCGAGGACACGAAACCCCCAAAACACCAGCGGTCAACAAAGATCGAAGATCTCGCTGACGAAGATTGCAAGCCTGCGAAGAAGTTAAAGGTTACAACGAGCACCAAACCATCCAAGACGAAATCATTCCTAGACAGGTATGCCGAAGTGGCTGAGCAAGAAGAGCTGACTGCACAGAAACGGGCTGATGCACTCACAGCCAAGGCATCACTTGCTGTTGTCAAAGCAAAAGCCAAGGCCCAGATCAAGCTGGAGAAGGAGAGACGCGAGACGGAGAAGGAGAGGAGGAAGACTGAGTATGCATTGAGGAAGCTCGAGCTCGAGCATCAATTTCGAATGGCTCAATTGCCTCGCATTGACCAGGCTGGCCCTTCACAAGCACACTATCGAACAAATGATTTCCTCTCCGATGATGATCCATATGGACTTCCAATTCTCCCGCAACCAGAGAACTCTGAGGGGGGAAGTTCAACTAGCTACCATTACTAAAATTCTGAACGACGACGAGCTCTTTTTTCTTTGTATTTGAATAGTGCTCCTTTCAGCTGCTCCCGAAACCTTTTTGCTGATTTTAAACGCTGCTGCCGTCCATTTTGTGCAACTTCGAAAGGGTTATCTTCTGAATCCGAAGATGACGAGAGACCCTCCTCGATGAATGGATCACGTGTCGGTGCATCATAATCATCCTCCGCCAGCTCATCCGCCTCGCACATCATAGCAAAGGCATGTAAAGTAATGCATGCCACGGTCCAGTATGTGGCAATCCGGTGAGTTGCTTCGTCTCGGATATTGACACGAATACCTTTGAGCGAGTGAAAACGCCCCTTCAGGTAGCCAATGGCATGTTCAGATCGAATACGAACCATGGAAACATGGTTGTTAAACACCCGATTATCAGGTTCCTCCCGTTCCGGCATTTTATAGGGTGCTACCACCCAGGTTTGTATCTGGAGCTCGATGGTTAGTCTAAGCAAATAAATGTGACAAGCTCTTACAGGGTATGCGGAGTCTGCCCAAATGAATTCCCCATCTTCGAGTATGTCGTCGTGGTTCTGAGCAATGAATGTCTCTTGCCAAGCACTAGCATCGTGAGTGCTCCCAGTATGCCCATAGCTAAAATCAATAATTCGGAGATTTGGGAGCGAGACGATCTATTAAAATAGTCAGCTCAAATATATTCTCGGATGAAATTAAAATTAAAATACTTGAACATTCAATGAATAATTTGATTTTCGGTCAAAGTAGCTTTCTCCGTACCAATGAGGACGATCGTAAAGAGGAATGAGGGTGCCATCAACAAGGCACCACCCGTTCCTCCATGCACGACAGGAAGTGAGCTTCAACCCAGGACTTTGCAAGTTCTTTTTCAGTCTGCAGTAGGGAATCGAAACAGCAGACTTGCGGAAAGATGGGCGAAGGACAGCTGTCATGACTCTGCGGGTGATGAGGTGGACAGTTCCTTTGCCAAGCCCAGCCCAATCCTGCAATTGCCTGCATGCTAGCCCCATTACCGTTGTGTCCGAATCGATATAGTGTGACCGCGAGCTGGTCAGTGAGGGGAATTTGTTCATTCTGGGACTTGTTGGTGAACACTGGATCAGATGCGAGTTCGGTGCAGATTTTGTCAAAGGTGTATGGGGAGACTCGAAGACTCTCGCGAAACTTGTCAGGACGTTGTGGCTTCAGCACGTCTAGCACATGGCGCATCTGAGACGGGCCACGAGGAAGCTGAGTGCGAGCCATCTGGTAGCGGTGTGAATAAGAATCCCGAATGAATTCGCGGACAAGCTGGCTGAGTTGTGCCTTCAGCAGTGGGTGCACTGGCAGCAATGTTGTCATTCGTCGAGCTCGTCATCAGCATCAGTGCCTGAGGTAGACTGAGACTCAGATACTGCAGATTCAGAGTCTGTGTCCGAGTAAGTGCTCGAGTCAAGCCCTGACACAGTACTCAAGCTGGATGGATCTGAGTATACAGACGAGTCATCTGAAAATTCATTGGAGTCTGAGCCAGAAGACGAGGAAATGGTGCTGCTGCTGGGGGAACTTGTGTCGGACATACTAGTATCCGAGTCAAGGTCTGAAAAGGATGTTGACACTAGTACTGAGTCTCCGTCCTCGAGAACAGCATCCAAGCTATTGAATTCATGTTCTGTAAGGCTTTCGAGCCTCCGTTGGCGACAGCAAGCAGATTGTGCTCGTTTTTTCATTACCTGCAATGCAAACATAATTAGATTCTGTACTTGCACTTGCCTTTGTGTCCAGTCGCGGCATCTTGAGTGGTCCGAGGTAAGGTACTTAGCATACACACATATACACGAGAATCACAGTTGAAAATCCAGTCAGTCGCTATGGGGTGTTCAAAGCAACTGCGATTTTCACACGATTTTCGCATTTTGAATCGTTCTGTAATCGCACGCTGAATCGTCTCAAAATCGTTCACTCTGACTACCACTAATATGTGATCTGTTGATTACAGATTGGATTCACCCAAGTATTGTGTGCCCTCCAAACTTCTCATATCAAAAACTCATCGACCATATTCTGGACTGAAAATGCATCGTCTCCTGTTTGACTCATCTAACCTGTTATAGCCCAGAAGATCCCTATTCGAATGATACTCCAGAAAACTGACGACATACAGCACGACGCGGCGGACTGCAGGTGCGAATTTCAGGACCGAAATGCAGGACCGAAAATATGGTACACCGGCGGGAGACGGGACATTGGATGACTTTCCGTAGGCAAAATATTCCAGATTAGAATATTTCGGAGCCTGAAATACATTTGCAATCACGACGATAATTTAATCTATGCAACAATAATCCCCCGTAGGCTCAGTCAATAGAATTTAGTCCAGACCTCGATGGACAATCTCGCAATGCAGTACCTGCTTCTCAACGAAGACGAGGCAGACTTTTTTGATGACGACGATGGAGCTCAGGTCCTAGCTGCAGCCCTCATTTGTGGGATTGAGGTATCACGACAAGACCACATTGACACCCGAAACCCCCATCGTTTATACCTCTGCCGAGCCCAACTTCTTCCCAATCCTCGCATCAATACCCCTTGGCAGATTTTATACAACAGCCAGAACGATCGAGCCTTTATCACCACTATGGGTATTGATGTAAATACCTTCGCCTCGCTCCTTACCACTGGTTTTGCCCAACGCTGGTACTCGACACCAATCCCACGTGATGACACAAATGTGTTGGGAAATCCACGCATTGATCAGCGCTCGCTCGATGCCGCAGGAGCACTTGGGCTTGTGTTACACTATCTGAGTTCCACTATGCATGCCATCAGCCTTCAGCAAATTTTCGCTATTATCCCCACTACTGTCACGCGCTACCTTAAATTCGGTCTTGAGCTTCTCCTCCTCTCCCTCCGCACCACACGGGATGCCACAATTCGCTGGCTCGAAGGCCCAGAATTTGAACGCTGTAGTGCGCTTGTTGTCGCACGTCACGGGAGACTTGGAGGGGCGTTCGGCAGCATCGACGGTCTTAAATTACCTGTGCAAACATCGGATGATGTTGACATCGAGAATGCGACATATAATGGTTGGCTCTCCGAGCACTTTATTAGCTCGGTGTTGACATTTTCAGCTGAAGGTGAGTTTCATGCAGAATTCGCACTTCGCTCGTTAACTATATGTTGCAGGGGTCATTATTGCTGCAAGGATGAATGCCCCTGGTAGCTGGCATGACTCACGTCTTGCTCACCAAATTTATGCCTCCCTTCGAGACCATACTCCCCCAGGTTACTACGTCGTGGCTGATACAGCCTTCCCACGTGGGACCAACGACATCCAAGGCCGGATCCGCGCACCCCTTAAACAAGGCCAACGTGTTCAAGGGTCAGTTGCTGAGATTGACGAACGCATGGCATTCAATCGAGAGCTCCTTTCTTACCGGCAGACTGCTGAATGGGGGATGCGCAGTCTTCAAGGTGCTTTTGGAAGATTGCGTGTACCACTCGAAATTGCTAACAAAGATTCGCGCGGTGATCTCATCGAGATCTGTGTTCGATTGCACAATCTGCGCGCAATCCGAGTTGGCATCAACCAAATCCGCACAGTGTACCTTACTAATTGGCAGGAGACAGTTGATGATGCTTCCGTCTGGCACGACTTCGAGAATATGTTGTTTTCCGAGCAAAGGCAGAAAGATCGGGTTTCACGTTTCCACGTCACACTGGAGTACTTAGGGTAGATCAACTTGCTTGTTCATTGTAATGCATTCTCTTCAATCGAGGTCTTTGAACATCTACGACGGGGCCGTCATCACATATAGCAATCTCTGGTGGTTCGAAAGACATGAAGAATCCTCACAGGAAGATCGAAATATTCAAGCGGCTTCAAAATCACACGAACCCAAGGCTCTTGCGATCTCCGGTGGTTCGAAAGACATGAAGAATCCTCGCAGGAGGATCGAAATCTTCGAGCGGCTTCAAAATCACACGAACCCGAGGCTCTTCACGCCACGCTGCGTGTACGACGGAGCCGTCATCATGTACTCATCATGCAAGCTTCCATAGACCAAGCAGACTACTCAGGTCCTGACTGCTATCAAAAATCTACAGCGCCAAACTCGTGTGTTGTGGCACATCTATCATTATTGGGTAAGTCACTATCCAAACGATACAAAGGAAGAGATAACAGGCATCGAACTTGTGCGTCGCACTTTTATCATTATTGGGTAAGTATCAGATTGATATAAAGGTCACACCTCTGTGCTCTGTGGCTCACGGTCCTCCTCACTTCTGGGGACTGTAGGCTCTTGGGTGCCTTGCCTACGAGAATGACTCGGACGAACCACAGAATTGAATTTGCGTGGAGGTCCACCACGGGGACCCCAGCGGAAATGCTCTTGTCTGTGAGACGAACCTGCACGAGGAGAGGAGATGGAGTAGTACCGAAATCAGTAGGGGTAACAGCAGTGAACTGAGGAGAAGTTGGAGGATGATCAGACATGTTGGCGAGGGTCTCTGTATCACTGTGCCAGATGACACTTTGGCCTCCATCAGGGTAATAGGTATAACTCGGCTGTTTGGGTTTGTACCGGTGACGAGCATTACGAGAAACTGGGTTGGGATGGACATTGTGAGGAGCTTGGATCGGAGCCGACGCATGCATCTGCATCATCTCCACACGAAGCTTTCCAAGGTCACGTTCACGTTCGACATCGTAGAGTCTGGTGCGTAAGTCGTACAGTTGAGTACGTAGCTGCTCGGTGACTGCATTTGCATCTCGCAGCTGCTGTGCTTGGGTAAGCAGCTGCGTGTTTGCAAGGGATCGGTTGGCACGCTCCTCATCCCGAGCTTGCTGGACAGCAGGGTCAAAGGCCCCGCTGATGCGAGTGAGCAACTCTGAGGCAGCTGCACCTCGGCGGCGTGGCACAGGAGCATCTGCGCGAGTGGCACGAGTGATGGCAGTGTGCTCGATGGGGGGAGTAATGTTTCGCGAGTCATCATGACTGTCATCGGCATCGAAATCCGAGTCATTGAGATCACGAGTACCAGCACGCTCATTGATGAGTGCATCGATCTCGTGGGCACGAGTTACATCAGGTGGACAAACACCATTTCCTGTGGGCTTCGTGGTTTTGACCAACTGAGGTAGTTATGTGAGATGCGGGTGGAAAAACTCGAATGTAAGACTTACTTGTTTAAATTTTGTTTCGAGTGACACGGCTTTACGAGGAGGTCGGCCGTGGCTCCTTGCCCACTCGCTGTACTTCAAATGGATGGCCTGCCAACCTTTCTGGCCCAGAGGGCGCTCGTCTTCGACCAAGTCCAGGAGGACTTGAACATCAGCTGTGCTGTAATTGTTGGACCCACAGGGCCGGCCGTGTTTGGCCACAGCCCTTGGATCATCTTCGTGGTCATCAAGAGCACGTGTGCGCTTCAGAGTGTGGTCAGTATTCTCTTTTTCTTTACCCTTGCTTTGGTTGGCTTTGGCCACAGTTTTGCGACGTGCGCCAGCAGTTCTGACAGCTGGTGCATACCCACGAGCCTCAGCAATCGCCACGGGGTCACGAAGGTCTTTATCTGGCGAGTCGGGGAGTCGAATATGAGCAGGGTTCTGTGTCGAACCCAGAACAAGACGGGACCCAGACAGTAAGGGTGGTTGTTCGGATGCCTCACGAGGTTGGGAGAAGTCAGCAGGACTGGTGAGTCTGTACATCAAGGGTGTAGTCGCACGTTGCTGCACAGTGGTAAGCTCATTTTGCGAAGCTTCGAGAACAATGAACTGACTTACCGCATAGGCCTGGGACATGCGAGCTTCAGGCCACTCTGCTTGAGCTACAGCGTGAGCGATCCCAGGATGGGACAGCCAGTTACCCGCACAATCACGCACAAATGCATTCCCTGCGCCGTCGTAACGCAACTCGGGATTTGATGGGCTCCTATCAGGGACAAACATAGATTGGGAAGGGGGAATGTCAGACATTTGCCAAGGGACTGGTTGTACGAATACACTTACCTTGTGATTGAAAATGCGTTGAATCTATATAGTCCGTGACTTTGTTGAACCGGCCGAAGGAAGGGGTGAGTATTTTCATATGAAAAATGCAAAGTACAAGGACCCTGCACTAGTAGTAACAGTGCGACACGAGCGCGCCAGCCCATGCAGCGATCGAGAGGGAGCCGACCCTAAATACAGGGATGATAAGCAAAATTTCGTCGACGGAGGGCTGAGGATTGGTTGGTGGTAGTAGGCGCTAGGACAGATGCAGTGAGATTAGAGGGACCGGCGGAGACAGCGTTGCCAGGTCGTAGTTTGGCGTAGAGCACCTAGAATTAAAGTCTAAAAAGGAGGGAGAAAGAGGTGTCAACGTACTTGGCAAAACATTGACGGTGCACCTTTGTATGACTGCGAGAGGTGCCACGCACGTTGAGCAAGGCTCATTACGTCAGCGAATATCACTGGCGTAGTGGCCTAAAACGGAATATTCAAGTCTGCAGAGGGGGGGTACCCCCCCTTACAGATTAAGGTTTGAAAACGGGGGGCAAAGAAAATACTTTTGCAAATTGAGCTCAAATGAACAGCGGCATCGCGGCACACCTTCCTAATGTAGTCAAATTTATGATATGATATTCTAATAAATATATTTCGAGCCTACGGAAAGTCATCCATTGTGTTGGCGCACAAACTTCACAAGGGAGTCACTGACAGGACGAATTCGGTTGCTTGTAAATAGCAAGTGATGATCGGTATACTGCCCGAATCTACTCACAAGAAATGCCATTACGAGAACTAGCACAGCTATGCTCCTAGTACCATGTCTTCGCGCGAGGAACCCTCTGACTTTGTGCCGAAGCCAATAAGGCAAATTTGGATATGGTCCCTTGACCTAGAAGCCCTGCCAGCGATCCGCAATCATTGGATGACGTGCATCTCACAATACTACGGCGGAGAGCGGCCAGCTCAAAGAGGTAGCAACCTGCATCGAGATGTCTAAACTTGCGTCCTTTACATCTTCTGGCACTTTTTACTGACGTCACCATTTTTCGTCTCTGCAATCCAGCCATGATCAATGATGCGTGCCAAACCAAGCCAATCATGCGGTAAGTACCTGGAGCCTCATTCTGTAAGGCAAATTTCGAAATGGGTGGGTGGACCCCGCAGACTACGCCTTGTCGGTCGTGCCACCGCGATGTGCCTTAGCTTCATTCGGCGGGGGCCATTTTGGCCAGACACGATAGGCCTGTGCTCATAGCCATAGTATTCATAGCTGTCAATTGTTGGTTGCGCCACAGATTATCATTCTGATCTCTATAAAAGAATGTTGTGAGCAGCCTCCAGAGGGTCCGGGGAACAACGTACCAGCAACAAAAATGTGATTCGTCGGACAGTTGGGAGTAGTACCTCATCAGAACGCCGACATGATGATCAGGACAGCAACTTGACTCGGAAAGGTGAGCAGACGCTATTATTAGACAGGACCCCGCGTGAGCGGCAGCGACGACGCAGCGTAATTTACGCTAGGCGTGGACTCGGGAGTAAAACCGAGTCTTGCCATTAGTGCCACTGCTAGTCAATTTGAACCGAAGTGCCTTCAATTTAGCACGTCGTCTAAAAAGCTGCAACAAACTTAACCTTTCGTGCAGAAATGTAGAAGGTTGCTCTGAAAGTTGAAACGTCGATGGTTTGTTTGCAACTTGTCGAAATGGAGGTTTAACCGGCGAAGAAGGCTCAGCGGGCGTCTAATAATCTCTAATTCGAATCTTCGACAGATACATCTATTACATGCATTGAAGCAAAACGACCAGCGCATCACGAGCCTCTGATATCCACTGCATTAAGGTACCAAGTCATCCACAATTTCTATCTCGACACCTGCTAAACACACAGCAGAATGGCGGATGCAGCGGAACCCACCATTCAAACGATACCCGCTCGAGAGTTTGAAGCTCATACAGATACCATACGGGCAGTCGCAATTTTCCCTGATGGACGGCGTATGGTCACGGGTTCGGTAGACAAGACGCTTCGTCTGTGGGGCTTGAAATCAGGTGTTGTGTTGAAGAAAATGGAGGGCCATCGCAACGCAGTACGAGCAGTCGCGTTATCAAGAGACGGGCACTTCATAGCAAGCGGTGATTATAATGGAGAACTCATTGCTTGGGACCAAAACACTGGCATTTCTCTCACCCAAATCATAAAAGCCCACTTCGGGTCAATCTACTCGCTGGACTTTTCAGCAGATGGTGCACTGCTAGCAACCGGTTCATTGGACGGTACCGTGAAGCTCTGGAGCACCGCAACCTGGAATTTGCAAGGACTTCCGATTGATTGTCATACAGCAGTCTACTGCGTTCGATATGCACCGTCTGGAAAACAGCTCGCCATCGCGACATTCAAGGATGTCCAGATCTTGATTGCAGACACGAAGGAATGCATCGCACACTTCACGGCTCACGCCGTGTTCAATTTTTCACTCGCGTGGATGCCCTCTGGCTCACGGCTTCTCTCAGCTAGCACAATTCTCGATCCCACGATACGGGTCTGGAATTCATCAACCTGGAAGCAGGTCGGTGATCCCTGGATAGGCCATGTTCATCAGGTCAATGCTATTGCCGTAAACCCAACTGGCACACTGGTCGCCTCCGCATCTGATGACAAGCACGTCCGCCTCTGGCGACTCTCAGATCGACGAACCATTGCCATATTTGAGCACTCCGATAACGTGTATTGTGTCGCCTTCTCCATGGACGGCAAGCATATCATCAGCGGGAGTGCTAATAAGAAGGTCTCACAATGGGCAGTACCCGAGGTCGCTTTGCTAGAGGAGTGTGCAGTAGAGGTACATTTCCGTTCATTTACCATTCCTTTGTCATCTCATCTCGTCCAAGGATATGTCATTGTTGGAGGATCCAAGCGAACAGCCGACGAACAACGTAAGTCCGTGCTGCGTTTCCCGCCACTTCGTCTGCTTCCATGTTGACCCCCAATGTTGATGCCAGGCTCACGTTGCTGATTCTACGGCATGTTCCCATTCTTGACTCTTATTACAAGATGTTGATCGTGTTTCATGTAGATGCTCGCTATAGACCCAACGATTCGCGGTGCATGCATAACTGGCGACTTGGCGACTGCTGAAGAGCTTCTAACGCAAGAGATCGACGCTGATGACAACAACTACAAGTCCTATGCTAATCGATCATTTGTTATGGCACGAAAACTCAACTGGGATAGCGCGATTGATGATGCACTTAAGGTATGATACTGTCCCATCCTGACCTCCCTTAAGGTAACCTAACTTTGATGGTCACATAGTCCATCAATATTAAGCCCTCCTCGACAGGCTATATCTCCAAAGGCATTGCCCTCTGTGGAAAAATGCGCTTCGAGGATGCGACGAAAGCATTCGACATCGCGTCCATATTCACCAGAGATGCCAAGACACCTGATCTTCTTTTGATCAAGGTACGTTCATTCTTTCCTACAGAGTCCTTGCCTTATCGTCATTTTCAGGCTATCGCGATTTTCAATGCAAATCAACACGAGGACGCAATGGAACGCGTTCAAGAGCTAGCTGCCGCTTGTCCTGATGCTGATGCGCTTGTTTGTCGTACCGTGGAGGTCAGTATCATACACTCTATCAAGTCCACATATGTTTGACATACATGTATGGACTTCGCACATCAGGCATATCTGCATGTTCAAATTGGAATCAACGCCTTGGATGGAGCGTGTCACGATGAAGCTGCTGACCAATTCACTACCGCTATCAACTTGAGCGTGTTCTCACCTGAATCAGCCATTCATCCCAGATATGAGGACTTTGCAGTGGTACGTTGATATGATGCCACCGAACATGCTTTTCATGCCCAACGCCTAGCTCTTCGGGTGGGACTTTAGGTCCCTGTGGCAAATTGCAAATCAGAAACGGTGTAATGCACTTCTGCGTGCGGGTAGACCTGGAGAAGCCCTCAAATCATATCGATACATGATGGATATGAGTGATGAAGCTACGAAGGCAAGCTGCTTTGATTGGTGCACTGGTAAGTCTTCAGGAATGTCAATGGGCTACAATGCTCACCCGCATATGACGCAGCTTTTAAGCAAGAGTGCAGTACGCTTTATGCTGTCAATGGAGTTGGCGACCTCGTTGTGGTCGGAGATGCTGCCCTCGCTGCGGGCGAGTACGACAGGGCTATTGAGATCTACTCGGCAGCGATCGACCTGGATTTTGCATCCTATACCATCTTTGCGAATCGTAGTAAGGCGAGGTTGGAAAAAATGCTGTGGGAAGATGCGCTTCGCGATGCACAAAAGGTTCGGTGGCATTTATCGTTTTGTAACTGACGCTCATTTTGGTGGTGCGTAGGCCATCGAACTGAACCCTTCATCCTATCTTGGATACGAGGTGAAACATGCAGCGCTTCATGGCGCACAACTCTATGATGAGGCGATCGAGGCTTTCCAAATCATGCTCTCCAAGTTGGACGATCCTCACGAGACAAGTAAGTTTTATCTATCACGCGGGTCAACATGCTTGAATAATATTACTCAACTCTATCCACAGAGCTGCGCCAGCAGTTTATCAGTCCGTCCGAAGCAGATGATGCTATTCGAAAGGTCACATATGACCACCTAGACGACGCTCCCCTGCGTCTACTAGATACCCACACTGGGCGCTTATGCGATAGAGAGGCACAGATAAATGCCTTCAAATCGAGCACGGAGTACAAGAAGCTTCTGTCATCAACATTGAAGCGGGCAGATCTGCGAAAGGACCACATCCAAGAAGTTGTGATGACGTACTTCCGTTGTGTCATGTTATCACATAGGTGGGAAGTGAAGGAGCTGCTGTTGCACGAGGTCCAAAACAAGGTCGTGTATGACCTGAATCCAGTCGGCGGCATCGTGAAGTTGCAGTCATTCTGCAAAACGACTCGTAGTGTGGGGCATCGCTGGGGGTGGATCGATACATGTTGCATCGACCAAACTAACAACGTCGAACTTCAAAAATCACTTAATTCCATGTTTATCTGGTATCGCCAATCAGTCCTCACGATCGTATACCTGTCGGATGTTGCGCCTGCATCAAAGTCTGGCGCGCTGGCAAAAAGCACTTGGAACACAAGAGGATGGACTGTTCCTGAATTCCTGGCTCCCAAGGTCATTCTCTTCTACCAAAATGATTGGACGTTATATCTCGATGACAATTCTCCCAACCACAAGGAATCTCCGACGATCATGCAGGAGTTGGAGGATGCGACGGGCATAGATGCACGAGCCCTCGTTGCCTTCCGTCCCGGAATGAGAGGCGCACGAGAAAGACTTCAATGGGTATCGGGGCGTATCACCACGTTACAGGAAGACATCGCATACTCTTTGTTTGGAATATTCGGCGTCCAGCTACCTGTCATGTATGGTGAGAAGAAGCAAAACGCACTCGGGCGGCTTTTGCAGGAGATCGTAGCTCAGTCGGGAGACATTACTGCCCTCGACTGGGTCGGAAGATCATCCGAGTTCAATAGCTGTCTGCCTGCAGATATCACTTCATACGAAGCTCCAGCATACGCGCTGCCACTTATATCTGAAGACGAGATGCAGAAATCAGTCTCCGCGCTGCGAGACTCCGTGGATATAAAGCTGGCTGTGAGATTGTACGACACACTTGACTACCTGACCGCCCCCCGTTTCGCGCACCGCCGCCTGCATCTGCCCTGCATCGCATTCCCTGTCACAGAGGTCAGACGGAGTCTTCATCAAGACCAGGAGCCATATTCCACATATCAAGTCAAGGCAGACGGGCTTCGTGACTTGCTGATCATCACGGAAGACAGGCTGCCCCAGTTCTCGAAGGCACGGCCCACTCGACAGTCATTCCTGCTCGTCCGTCCTTGGGATCGTCATCTCCTTGGGCTACCTGACTTTGAAGACGAAGATGATACGCAGAGCGATGATGGTTGGACCCTACCCGTGTCCCCCACGCAGGACTCAATTGGTGAATCCCTTGGAGAAGAGGAGTCTGAATCGAGCGAGCGAGCGTTGCGATTGATGGTTCGCCTTGCACAGCCTTTTAGCGCATTTTTACTAGCGCAGCAGCGTGGTGGAGAATACAAGAGAATCGCGTCGGATCATGATATTATTGCACAAGGCAATGATGTTCGTTCTGTTCACAATGATATGATGGACGTTAGGACATTAGAGATATTGTAGCTGTAGCCTGCATGGATACATTTTAGACCGGAGATTTCATATCTTGTACGCACAAATACCCCAAATTGTACCCGTATCGTATGCTTACCCCCTAGGGACTCTCGACATAGATTGCATTTACGCCATACTTGCTCAATGATTCTGCTCGTTCGCGTCAACCGACTCAGACGAGCCCGAATTCAACGACTTGGACTCGGATGTGAGAACGCAACGCGGTCACGTGACTGCGATCGTTCCAGTTCAACTTGAATGGGAAGGTAATGTTGAGCGCTGAGCACCTTTCTGTACGATACAGCAAAGTACTAGGTTACTTGCAAGCAAGGGAGCTACAGGAGGAGGCATAAATACAAAATAAAACGACAACAACAAATCATGTAACAACAACAACAGTGCAAGAACCAGCAGTACAGCACAAGAAAAAATCAAAACGAATAGTGATACCTCAAGTCCTCCAGACCAACCTTCCCCTGTCTCCTTCCAGTCCCTCCGCGCGTCTCTTTTTGAATTCATAGAACCGCGATGTTGCTGCGGCCGAGCCTACGTATGCGAATAATGATCAGCGCCCTTGCATAGCGAGTAAGGGACAAAAAAAGTGAAAACACGCACCTTTCTTTGGCGCTCCTCTTCCTATGCCCATGAACCAAAGCAGAGCTCGCACAGGCAACCATATGATCATCAAAAACCACCCCAACACCACTCGAAGCGGACCGAACGCGAGGATGTTGAGTAGCAAGACGACCAAGCGCAATGGACCGCTACCAGGCGTTCCGTCCGAGACGTAGAGAACGCCTCTCGTGCATTCGATGGTGAAGAAGACAGGAAGGAGGAAAGAAGCGTAGACTGGTACATGCGCCGTTGTGAATGAGTCGCAGTTGAGCGGGGTAAAAGAATTAAGAATCACGTACGAACGTCCCGCATTGTCATGTTGTCACAATATTAAATATTTGATTTTTGCAACCTCGAGGCTGGATATGGGTCCGGTCGAGCAAGTTCGATTTACAGGGCTATAGACACGGAGGCTCGACCGGGATTGATATGGTGGTGCAGTTGTGAGTTACACTTCCGTTGATGATCACAACAGTGGTTCAAGAATCAACAGAAGTCGCCCACAGTTGTCACATTTTCGGCGCTTCCATCATCGACCAAGATAGTACGCGGAGCCCTTCATGTGTTCACCATTCACCACGGCTTTCTTTCGGATGATATATCTAGACATCCCGAACACGTCTAGGCTCATGGGCCATGTAAATTAATAGTAAGGTCGTCGTAATTTTTCAGGACCTTTGGCAGAAGTAGTACATGACGCTTCATACATCTTCCAGCCTTGTTCTAATCTATACATACACTTACAAGCGCTGTTTTTACAGGCGGTCTACAAACGATGTTCAGATCAAAAACCGATAAACGATCAAGCTCAATTCGACACTCACTAACGTTGCCGAGGTCACTGCAAGCCTCCTTGACACGAGCCGTGAGCGTCTTCTCACCCTCACGAACCCAGACACGGGGGTCATAGAACTGCAATCAAACATGAATGACGGGAATGTCAAAGAAGTTAACCTAGCGACCCACCTTCTTGTTGGGTTTGTCTGCGCCTTCGGGGTTGCCGACTTGAGTGAGTAGGTAATCTTTTTTCTTGAAAACGAAGTCCTGGAAGATAGCGGTCAGCCATTGCGTGATCTCAAGGACAGATGGACGATCGTACCCTGATACCAGCGAGGTAAGCGAACTGGGTGTCTGAGTAACCGTTGTATGTCAGCAACTGAATCTGCTGCAAAAGTTGGCACACTCACCAGTGTCAACGTTCATTTTGACGACACCGTTTCCGACTGCAGTCTTGATCTCCTCCTTGGTTGATCCAGAACCACCGTGGAACACGAGGTAGAGAGGCTTCTCGGACTTGCCACCGAGTTTTTGGCTGCTGAAAGCTTGGTGCTTGCCAAGCAATTCAGGCTGGAGTTTGACGTTTCCAGGTTTGTAGACACCGTGCACGTTACCGAACGCGGCGGCAATGCTGAAGTTGGGGCTGATAGCACTCAAAGCAGCGTGAACATCGTAGATGTCCTCGGGTTGTGTGTAGAGGGATGCGTTGTCGACACCAGTGTTGTCAACACCGTCCTCTTCACCACCGGTAATACCGATTTCCATTTCTAGCCAAATTCCGAGAGGTGCCATGCGCTTGAAATACTTCACGCATGTTGCGATGTTCTCTTCTTTTGATTCCTCAGACAGGTCAAGCATGTGTGAAGAGAAAAGGGGCTCTTGGTGCTCCTTGAAATAGGCCTCATCGGCAGCAAGCATGCCATCGAACCATGGCAGGAGCTTGTGGGCACAGTGGTCGCTGTGAAGAACGACAGGCCTATATTTGCGCTGTGATTCAGAAAAAATCTTGATCCCAGGCAAAGATCAGACTCACACGCCGTATGCCTTCGCAACTGTGCGAACATGGTGGGCAGCAGCAACAGCTCCCAGGATGGAAGCTTGCTGGTTGTCATTCGCCAGACCTTTGCCGGCGTAGTAAGCGCTTCCACCCTGAGAGACCTGGAGGATGATCGGAGCCTTGATGTCTCTGCAGAGCTAGAGGTGAGCATGCTGTGAATAACGACGAGTTTGGTACAGACCTTGCGGCTTCCAAAACGGCGTTAGCGGTGGATGAGGAAGTGACGTTCTGGTGGAGTTAAGCTGAAACACAAGGAGACCTAGATTTATTCGGCACTCACAATAGCCTGGTGAAGAGAAGATCGGTTCAGCAGTACTTTACTTCCTGGGGGAAAAGAACTCACGGGAATGGCAAACTATTGAAGTTGAATTGCAAGGTGTTTCATAAAGGTAATATGAGATGAGTCGAGAGCAACGTACCTTGTTCTCCTTTGCGTAATCGAACAATTTGCGAACGTTGTCTCCAGTGAGGACACCAGCCTGCTAGGATGTCAATGGATCTGCTTCCCGGATGATTGAGTTGTACTAACGGGAACGATATCGAGGACACCCATGATGAATCTGCGGGAGAGAGCGGTAATGGTGGATCTGGAACAAGATGGAGATGGCGTCAGAACAGCCTTTAAATGGGAGCGAAGAGGTACCTTATAAGCTACCGATAGCTGTGTAAAGCTTGCCTAGTGAAACGACTTGGAAATCGATAAGTCTTTCACTCGTCCGATATCGCCCATTTTTGGCACGTGGTTTAAGATCGCATCATATCTTCAGTCCATTTACTTACTAAATCCGGGCATGCGTTTTATACCCGAATTCCCGGTTGGCCTCTTGGAAAAACGTTCGATGCATCCAACATACGATTGCATGTCTTTTGGAAGTACGTTCACTTCGGGATCAACAAGAGTGAGAGCATGTCGGCTCGGGTCCTGCTGTCCTACTCCCAGGCAGTACCACCGCCCCCGCTCGTTCCCTAGGCAGAATCCCAAAGTCCCATCCACGTCACACCAAACCATCCCAGGCTAGTCCCACACCGGCAGAATTCAAGCCAACCGGCACAAGGACACACTGAGTTCAATAGGTCTGTCCCTTGGGCCTTGGCAGAAGTAAGCTACGTAGAAGCTAAAATTTCGGACTCGGTCGTGCTCCGATCATAGTGATCAGCCCTCATCGCACAGGTTGCGGCCCCGGCGGTATACTATCACTCTATTTCAGAATGTGAACAAAGTCGCTTTTGATCCGGGGAATCACTAATCCTTGCTTAGTTCTCATCACTAATTGGACCACTGGTAGTGGCCCAGCACTATAGCACCCACGACACGATTCACCACCCGGCACGCACTGCTTCCTCCTAGCTTATCCCTAATGCAGTTATTCTCATCTGTTTGCTTAGATTCAGTATCGGCGACCTAAGTCAGCCATCAACCTGACATACGCCACATTTCCTGTAGACTTGCGGCTAGAGGGTGGACACAAACATACATTCCGTATGGGTTCGTGTGTGGCTTCTCATCACAACTTATTGGGCGTAGTCTGTGAACAGCTCGAATAAATTACAGAGCATTTCCATGAGATGGTATTATTAATGGTACTACTGTATAACATCTATTATGAGAGTCCCGGTATTGCCGTTCCTTCAAACTCTACGACAGTGAACACTATCTTGGTGGAAATAGCAGCGTGGACATATTCTGTGCTTCTTGATACGAATTTTCCGCTCCAATCTGGGCTGGGGTTAACGAGTCATATATTGGGCAAAGCTCGTCCCATGCAGCTGTGTACGTCATCAGTTAAATCAGAGCATAGGATAGACATCGAACAATTACGGGGTATGGGGCCCAGATGCGCCTGAGTGTCTGAGGGGCTTTCAGCCATAACTACAGCGAAACCACTAGTAACAGAGATCAGATTACGGCAGAGTTCTAGAGCGCTCGAGATACTTACGCGTCGAGATGCCAGTCGATGTGACTAGGTAAACGACGAGATCAGTGCTAGTGCTAGATACATCAATGACACAGTGCTTACCAGTGCAGGAACCATGGACCGGAGTTGTCTGTGACCCACCTAATCACCATCTGCTGGTTTTGGAGCCCGCCGGATACTACGTCCCTGCGCACGGGATTGACGTAGTTAAATGAACTATTTCCTGCGCTCTGCACGACATCAAAGCTATGCTATAATCACAGTAAGCAATTGAGTGCCAACTGGTGACGAGATGGACTTACGCCGTGAATATGAATGGGATGCTATGGAGATGCCATAAGATGTATGTAACGTAGTGAATGCACGGGAAACTTACGGGACCACCAACGTTGCTAGTTATCATCGTCAATTCGACGACCTTGTTAGCCCCTAAAACATAAACACTTCCAAGTGGAAGGAGATCGGTTGCAAGTCGTGCACCGCTGAGAATCTGGAGCAGTACGGGCACTGTGGGAGGCTTGTATGTTGCGCCATTGATCGAATATACCCCAACCGAGTTGTTGACTACCATCTTCAAGTTGATGTCTGCATTTCCGTACCCTGGAACCCCAGGTGCACCAGGATTGATGAATGCATGCAAGTTGGTCTCGAGGAGCGGCATAGTACTCTTGGTCTGGTTCGTGGTAGGATCTGCAACGGGTGCACCCTTGTATCGCAAGATAGCAAGGCTCTGGCCGCCGTTGAAGTTCGCGCCTGGAGTATTTGGGAGTGCTCGTATCCAGTAATTGCCGACTGGCTGATTCATGGTGAGCACAGCAGAGTATCGCTGTCCAGCAAGTATCGTAATCGAGTCCACGAGCAGGGGCTCCGTCAGTTCACCGTCTGCTTCGATTACCGTCAAGTTATGGTTGTCGATGGAAAATGCAAAGTTGGGATCGCAAGACATTGCTATAAGGCGTAGGCGATATCGTTTCCCGTACTCGAGATTGACTACCGCAAGCTCACTCGCGGGTCCCCCTTGATATCGGCCGAGACCGTTAATGAGTGTAGAGTTGCCATTGGTACCAATGATATGAGCCAAAACAGGCGCCACCACATGGTACCTATGATCAATCAGTGAGAAGAATGCAATTCACAAACAGCTCCAAAACGTACCAGTCAGCAAGGGTGATGACGGTGCTCTCTGTAAATTCCGTAAGTGAGCGAATTCATGGCTATGCTAGTAAACACTATACCGTCGTCAACGTCGTATAAATATGACAGAGGGTCTTCGGGGTCGTAGATAATCAAAGCCCCACGGAGTCCATCACTAAACGGGTTCGGATCATTTATTGCAAAGTTTAAAAGAATGACATATCAACAAACCACTGTTGCGTCGCGTAGTGGCTATGATACCAATAGGTTCCAGCCTGATTCCGTGCCTCGAAGGAGTGCAGAAAGGAGTGATTTTGCGCAATGGGACATTGAGTGACGAATGAGACTCCATCGGCATAGTTAGTCCCATTCTGATTGATGCCGTGCCAGTGCTAAACAGAGTGGGGTAAGCCTGATGTATGAATACTGAACGGTTGTATACCCACCACGCTGGTGCTCTTGAACATTTCATCGTCAGTGAGTCTGTTCACGACATTTATCGCAAAGTGTTCTCCCTTCAACTATAGTCAGTGTCTGAGGGCCAGATCAAATTGGCAGAAAAGGGACCTTTCTGGCTGCGATGATTGGACCTGGAAAAGTTCCTCCGGCGAGTGTTGCACTATAACAATGATTAAGATGCAACAAAATACACAGTAGATACAAACTCACGAGCGCGTAAACCCGTCTGGGGATATGATTTCATTGGAAATTATAAGGTTGGTCTTGGGGCCTACCGTGTTTGAACGAGAGTTGAGTGGATAGGAATTGGATCGTGAGATGATGGATGCTGCATGTGCTAGATGAAGCCATAGTAGAACGAAAATGACATTAAGAAAGAGCATTATATTGAGTGTAGAGGGAATATATGCAAGAAGCACTCGATAATAAAAGTACTCACCTGAACATGGTGGCTCTTATAGATATCTGACATCTGCTTCTTATCCCAACTTCCGCCACAAGTGGCAAACTTGGCCGTAAAAAGGTTGTAGTCAACGTCAAATGCCAAGCCCCGACTGGTTGATGGTAGCTTTTGGCGCGCAAGGGTACAGCCCGCCACGTCAAGCTTGGCTATAGCACCCATAGGGGAATAATGCAAAGCCGGGACGGCAAGTTCGGAAAGGTAAACTAAGGAACATCACGTTCACTTTCAAGTTGGTAGGTTCTGTCTTGGAAGCACGGGATTCACCAATGATCATTGTTCAACTAATTGAAAAGATGAGCTAGATCAGCCGATTTTCGGAGGGAATTCATATACGTCAATTCAAACCAGCGGTAGAATCCTTGGAATCAGGCTCAATTGTTCGACCTGGATACTCGAAGCCAATGGTACGCACTGCGTGCCCGACGGACCCTGAATAACATGCCCCTGACAAGTGTCCTCAGATCCGTTCCTAGTCATTAGTATGAAACGCACCGGAATTTTGAAATTTGTCTTGTTTAGTCAAGCCCAGATGATTTGAGGCGTGGTATGATTGATCTTGCTCGTTTGGTCAACCAGTACGTGGGGGACAGAGTGGGCGAGCGCAATCATGATGCGTCGAGCAGGTTCTATGAATGTACCCAATTTCAATATGAGAGGCTGCAATTCGTAAAGTGGTGTATTCTGGTCATGGGCCACTGACCTTTGCCGACAAATTAGGATCAATGCATTCAATATGTTTAACTGGATCGGTCCCTTGTTAAGTCCACGCGCGCCGCAATGCATCAATTGTAGTCACTAGTAGCGAGCACCTGTGGGCAACAGCTGTCACACACCAGGAACTGCAATGGTGTCCATGATGGGGCTATACTGGCGGTCCTCCTGTTGAATACATGCCAAGGTGGTATTTGGTTGTTCCATTCTGCACGTATAGGTTTCGGTTGGAGACATGTGCCCGTCGCATCATTGCCTGCACGGACTCGGAAGTCACTTCCGTATTAGTAATAGTTGCCGAACCAAACATTTGTAATTTCTATATTAGGTAAGAGCTAGAGGAAATCGGAATGAGCCGACAGTCTTGCAACGCTTCAGTGCTTGAAGTCAACTCGGTTCTGGACTCGTCGGAAAAGTGTCTCAAAAGGCTTTAGGTTCGGCAAAGCCTGTACTGGACCCCTGGCACGAGTCTCGACCGTCTTGACGTCGAGGGACTAGAGCGCAAACTGATAAGCTTCGAACGCCCATCTTCCTGTCCCTGGACGTCGTCCTGACTCCTCAGACATTGTTTTTCTTGCGCTTCAGGGAGCAATATTACAAACCGGCACGAAGTCTCAACAAAGTCCGAGGACGTCCGCTCCCATAGAACGAGCAGTCCGTTGCAAGTTTCCGTTGGATCATCAATCAGGTACCGTAGTCATGACGCAACTAAGGTATCTTACATTGTGGAGCCTAGTGCCTTGTACGGCCTAGTACCCCATTATGAAGGGGGCAATTTAATTATAGCAGCGCTTATAATAGAGAAAGACCCAAGTAAGATCTACAAGATATTCATCCGTGTGACATCAGTTTGTCCTGCAGACATTATGCCCCCCAAGAAACCAAAGCGATCAGGACGCTCAAGGACGCTCAAGGACGCCCACCACCATATTTAGTGAAGAGGTGATGGTGGGAAGAGGAGAGTGGAAATATTAGCTGCTTCTTCATAGGACTTGCGACCCCCGCCTCCCAACTGTGAGGGTGATAGAGAGTCAAAGATCGGACATAACTGATCCCAATCATCTGTAGAAGCAATTCAGCCGTGGAAGAATATTTTCCTCACGCATGACCTACGTGGCATGGATTCAATCAACTGTGTGCGAGTGTCCGAAGGACTTTCCGCCATTATCACGGCGAAACCTCTTGATTAGCGGATTAGCCATTTCTTTCAGGAGGACATTCACAAACATACGCATCGAGGTGCCAGTCAATGTGACTTTTGGTCCCAGGGTTAGTACCTTTCTGGCCAGCTCAACAAAAATGATGTCATACCAATGCAAGAACCAGGGGCCAGAGTTGTCGGTCGTCCATCTTATCACCATTTGTTCTCCATTGCCGCCGGCGTTTACTACGTCGCGACGAACAGGGTTCACGTAATTGAAGGTTCCGTTGCCTGCGCTCTGTACGACATCGAAGGCATGCTAATGATCATCAAAATGTGTACCAGCCATCCGACGTTCTATCGAAGTTATGGCGAACTTACCCCATGAAGGTGTATTGGGTGCTGGTGCAATGGTATATCAGGCACATAAGCATCGAAGAAACGAAAAAGACGTACGGGTCCACCTCGACCGGTTGTTGACAGTGTCAACTCTACCACTTTGTTCGCTTCTAGAACGATGACACTCCCATTTTGAAGCAGCTGAGACGGCTCCTGAGCTCCACTGAGAATTTGTAGTAGAACAGGAACGGTAGGGGGTGTGAAAGTGACATTATTGATATAAAATGTTCCAAAGACGTTGGCAACTGAGAGGTTGAGGTTGATGTCAGCCTTCCCATACTCCGGAATGCCAGGAGCGCCAGGTTTTATCAGAGCATGTAAGTTGGTCTCTTGCAATGGGTTCTTGGGTGCAGGATTGACCGTGGTCGGGTCGGCATTTTGGGCGCCTTTGTAGCGCAGAATAGCAGAGTTCGTTCCTCCCTCGTAGGTTGCATCATTCGTATTAGGAAGATTGCGTATCCAGTAGTTAATCGCCGGCTTATCGGCTACCAGAACCACAGAATAGCGCTGACCCGCGAAAATCTGGAGCTGATCTACCATCAGAGGTTCGGTCAGTTGTCCATCCGCTTCGATGACGGTCAAGTTATGGCCATCGATGGAAAACTGGAAGTTTGGATCGCATGACATTGAAACCAGGCGCAAGCGATACCGCTTTCCCTGCTCAACACTGATTACAGCAAGATCAGACATGGGTCCGCCAGCATATCGACCGAGTCCATTGACGAGTGTAGAGCTGGCAGTATTACCTATGACGTAGCGCAAGACGGTAGCCGCAGTATGATACCTAGTGATACTACTTTAGTCGGACAGATTACCAACATTCGTAAAACTCACCAGTCGGCAAGTGTGACCACGGTACTTGCTGGAATTACATGGTGGTCAGAGGGTCAATACAAACCGGTTGCTCGCTCACCATCGTCGACGTCGTACATGTGTGCCAAAGGGTCCTGAGGATCATATATTACCAGGGGTCCCCTCAGACCATCACACTGTTCCACAGGTCAGCCCTCTACTGCGTGTGCAAAGTTCGAGCGATACTTTCATATTGGACGGAATAATGACTGTGATACCAATAAGTGCCTGCCTGGTTCGGGGCGGAGAAAGAGTGTAAAAAGGAGTGGTTCTGCGCAATGGGGCATTGTGTGACGGAGGAAGCCCCGTCGGCATAGTTCGTTCCATTCTGGTAGAGACCGTGCCAGTGCTGCAGCAAACAAAGTTAAAAGGTTAACAACGTCGATGATTTGACGCTGCTTACGACACTGGTAACCTTGAACATCGAGTCGTCCGTGAGCTCGTTGGCTACCTCGATATCAAAGTGATCTCCCTATTGTGAGGTCAGCACTGGCGCACGACGATAAGGAACTCGACAAAATTTCACCTTCTGCGCTGCAATCAAGGGTCCAGGGAATACGCCATCAACAAGAGTTGCTCTGTCAACGATCAGGGGTGAGCTTAGAGTGTCGTGATAATAGACTCACGAGCGTTCGAAGCCATCGGGAGCAATGACCTTATTACCTACGGCCAGTCTGGTTTTGGGGCCGAGCACGGCGGGCTGAGATAATGGGTAGGACTGGGAACGAGATACTATAGACGCAGCATTAATGGATGAAACGAGAAAAGCGATTAGAATTAGAATAAACATCGTGATCATTCACGATAGGTAGTGCTCTCACACCCAGGAGAGTAGTGGGATGTTGGATAGGATTATGATGAGGAGACACATACCTCTCACAGCTTTTATCTCGCAGCGGTAGATATTGAGTGTTTCCCGATTCAAAGCAGTCGTTGTCTCGATCGAATATTACCCGTTTGTGATCAGGCCGGAAACAGACAGCTGCTTGGTGATCTCCAGTACCCCAGACATCGTATCAACAGCTGAAGTTGGCAACTATCTGCTGTCGAAGAATAGTGACGTACCACAAAATCATGCCTCGGACACAACTCAGACAGCCAGAGAAGCCAGCCGACCCCAGGTGGCTCATAGCAGTGTTAGTGCTAGGGTACCACAGCAGCCCGAGACAGCTCTCCATGCATAGGAAAAGAATAACACAGACGGCTGGTAGTGACCCCTCAAGCATCCCGTACGAGAGAATCGGAACTAGAGGTTGTCCGAAAGAAATGGCCATACGCTGTAAGGAAACTTAGCATTGACCTGTCCATATGTCTTGAAACCGATCAAAGCATATATCGACGTCATCTGTGTTAGGCAACGTGCACAATTATAATGATCACCTTGGAAGGAACGGTGCAATAGCGGGGACCATAAACCGGCTTCCAATCGATACTGTCACCATGAGAAGTCAAAGTGTGAGGGAGATACCGACTCATCAAAGCGCGAGATCAGGCAGTGATCGGGCGGGATCCTGGAACAGATTATGTTATGCCTACTTGGTGACTTAGTTCCTGTTCCTCAACGATCAATAGCTTGCCGTGTTACGGATCGGCTCGGTGTACATGCAAATCGATGCTAAAGTCATACTTAGTGTTGACACTACCAGGTATGACTGGAATGCACTTATCAGCTTGCTGCAGACCCGAGATACTAAAAAAACTCACTTCTCGAGCGGCTATTGCGAGATTGCACACAATGGCATTGGCAGAATAAATAGTATAGGCCAGATTAGCTCGCAACCAAAACAAATGTATTTTTTGACACAGACCTGAGAAAAACATTTGGCCGGGATGACAATTCCGGTGTCGCACGGGACTACCAACGGAGGAGGACACCAAGTCGATGTTGCGGCTCCCCCTGCAAGATCACGCAAGAGGTATTAGTAACATCATTGTAATGAGTCGTGTCATTTGAAAGGAAAAGGCAACACGACAGTAGTATTTAACAGGGGGACTCTTCTTCGAGAATTGAAGGGCGTGCGCTGACTCCAAATAGGAATAATTTGATGCCTCAAATGAACTCAATACGAAAGTCAATACGCGACGCATCGCCAATAAGGAGGCGTAGATGGATGTATTTGGCCGAAGTACTGTACACTAGACGCTCGGGTGTCTCCGCACAGAATGTTGAAAGGAGCCTGAGACGGCTGACAAGATGGTTGCGGCGCGATCGCAATGACCGAAGGTTGTGCCATTATTGAATCGTCCAAAGTCAGGCTGAAGTGATAAAAGTATCAGCAATGGAGAGCCCGTTCATGGCTAGCAGGGCTGTATCAGTGACTGTCATTGCAGTATCATAGAATTGCAGAACCGCAGACCGAGTGATTATTGATTCTGAAAGTCGGGCTGAAGTGAGCAGTGGAGAGCCCATGCTAGGCCCACACCCTTTTTCGACTTTTACGTTTGCTGCACATGCTCGAAAGCTTGAGCTTGAGATGGCAATGATGCGGAGGCAGAACGGAAAGTACTGTGAATCAGTGTGATCTTCAAATTTTGCTAGTCCGACTCGGATGCGGACCTCCGAGTCAGCCGACTCGGTCCGGCGCGGACCTCAAGGGTCTGGTGGTCACGGGGGTGAGTTCAAAGTGTCAGGTCAACCTAGTAATGCATACTTTTGCTACACGCTAACCAGGTGCTGAAGCTCGCCAGGTCATGCCAGGCTATGCTCAAGATAAAAGTGATCTATTGGTCACCATGTCGAGCTACAAATGTCAGCCTCAGCCAAGCACTGTTAACTTCTGAGACTTCAATATTGAAGTCGAGGCTGACCTGGACTGAAACGGGTCCCATTATATGTATTCAATTCTGAATCGTGAGCGGTTCACCTCCCTTACATCCCCCTTTAGCTGATAGTGTCATGTACACAGCGGACACTGCCTACCGTTTCATCCTTACCAGCTTCTTTACAACGATCAGTCTTGTTGCGTTTATGGCATCCAAAATCTTCGGTTATACCGTCGAGTACCAGTGGAAGCGGAGTGCCAGTCCTGGGAGTTCTGTCAAGACCAATTCCTTGACAGTTTGTAAAGAGACACATGACAAGGTCAGTGATATTGATGACCTACACTTTTACTCAACATTGACCATTGCTCGAACAGTTCCTCAACATCATCAACCAAGGAGAAATTTACGAGTGGAGAATGTTTTACTACTCAGCGAGATGGCATGTGTACCAGAAAGGGCTCTATACAGGATCGCTGATGGTCTTCCCGGTATGATGTTTCACCTTTGTCTTTCGTTACTCGTTTCTGAGACCTTTATTTATTCATATCTAGGCGATTGAATCTCACTGCGTTGACAATCTATACGTTTCTTCGAAGAGTGTAAAATTCTTCAAGGGAATTCATCGTGTTCTCGGCTTGGTATGCATAAGTCATTGTATTTCTTGGCGTATAATCACAATCTTTGAGCAGCCACGTTATCCAACGAGAGCACCCGGAATGAGTCTCATCAAATATGCACCTTTGTTTCCACGTTTGGCTTCTCAGGTACCCTGGCGCTCTCATCACCCTGAGAATGTTTCGAGCGTATTCCAAGTTGCCCTAAGGAGAAGAGAGTATGTTAAGGTACTCGCAAACAGTGCAATCAGGCGCAAAGTAAAAGAGCCGCAAGTACACCTCGACAACATCAATCCGTCATATCATTCGACCCGAAGTCCGCATAATCAGAAGACATGCGACCTTCGCAAAACTCTCGTAAAGACACTTGGAGCCAGCGCATTGAAGAGGCAGTCACTCGTGATCAAGGAAAAAGAAGTACCCCACACACCGACGGAAGTCCGTTTGGAGCGCCGCCTCCGTTTGGCCCTTGGAGAGAATTTATCGATCAAGAACCTCGCTTCAGCTGCTGCTGCGAGAAAGGCGCCTGCACCTTCTCTGCCTGATCGTTCGCCATCTCGAATTTCTTCTCTACAGCCGAAGATACGTTATCAGGACCAGAAGTCGAGTCGCCGCAGTTTATTTCATGAAGCATCAGCCACCTCATTCAAACTGTCCGCGAACCTCGGCCCGGACGACGCTGCCCTCAAATCTTCCGTGTCCAATGAACCTTAATTTTAGCACTACTAGTGATGCACATATACGATAGTATTGAGTTGATTGCATCAGCCAAATGATGGTCGATACGTATAAATTTGTAATCGAACAGCCAGTCGTGACAACTTGTGAGAGGAATATTGACAAGACCGAGTTGCGACCGAGAACTCTTTCGCCATCGATATCATTGTCGCGCCTTATGGCGACTTGTCGGAACGTCGAAGGATGGCACATTGTGTCCAAGCTTCGTGAATTCGACCTCACTCTTTGCTTTGAGGAAGGTGTCCTTTTGACATCTCTTCTGGCTCTACTGCTACTATCGGTGACTTGCAGAATTTGGACCTTAAAATGTCTTCCCTCTCGTGATATATCGCGGAAAAGTCACTGGCGACTGTGGGCGAAGCTGGTGCGTTCAGATAGCTCTTTGTGTTTACCTGTTACCAACTGGGCGGACAGACTTTGTTGGGGCTGGCCATCGTCACGTCCTGCTTCAAACTCTTCCTCGTCTTGTCACTTAGGCACACAGCATCAGTCGTATGGCCTTACGTCCTCGAACCACTCGCGCTGATTGCGTCCTGGGTACTCACCCGACTGAACCATCGCCGGACACGTTCATCCTCAACCATTCTCCTACTATTTTGGCCTTGTTACACTGCCGGGCTGGCAATATGGACCAGATCGTTCATGCATGACGAAGTTTCACATGACCTTTTCGAGATTCTTTCAAAATGGGCCGTAGAACTTTTTGCTCTCCCGGCATACGCGCTGGAGTGCATCTCTCCTGATGATTCGGTCAAGGACAATTCGGAGAGTCCAGTGGTCACGGCCAATGTGTATAGCATTTGGTCATTTTCGTGGTTGACGTCGTTGATGAAGAAAGGTTCGAAAGAGATTATTACGGAAAACGACTTGCCTGCTTTGCTCCCCCGTGACGAGTCAGAGAATCTTGGAAACGATCTACAGTCCGCTCTGGACAAACAGTGAGTGTGATGTTTATCAGAGGTTGTACATTGTCCGACCGAGCTGCAGCTCGTCCTTTTGGGTCGCATTGTTTCTGTCGTATGGTGGCCCGTATATGGGTGCCGCATTCTTGAAACTCTTGCAGGACGGCCTCGCATTCTTGCAACCTCAACTTCTTCGATGGCTCCTCGCATATATTTCTAACTATCAGAGCACCAAAGGCACGGCCAACGTCCTTGTTGGTCCGAGCCCTCTCGAGGGATATGCCGTTGCTATCATTATGTTTGTGGCATCGATGTCGCAAACCGTCGTTCTCCACCAGGTAAACCCGGTCAACGTGATCGTATTTACAGTACTGACCGAAGTGAACAGTACTTTCAAATTTGTTTCGAGACTGGTATGCGTGTTCGCGCAGGCTTGGTGACCGCCATCTACAAAAAGTCTCTTGTGCTCTCTAGCGATGAGCGCGGGAATCGAGCATCTGGAGATATCGTCAACTTGATGTCTGTCGACGCGAGCAGGCTGCAGGAACTATGCACCTACGGTCTGATGGCGATCTCTGGACCGTTCCAGGTAGGGTAGTTCATTCTTTATAAATAAACATGCTCATGATATCGTCAGATTACGCTGGCTTTTGTATCCTTGTACAACCTTCTCGGATGGTCGGCTTTTGTCGGAGTTGCAATTATGATAATCTCTATTCCGCTAAATACATCGATCGCGAGGATGCTGAAGAGGATGCAGGAACAACAAATGAAGAACCGCGATCGGCGAACGAGGTTAATGAGCGAGCTTTTGGCCAATATTAAAAGGTACGTCAACCTCGTGCTCGCAGAGAAGCTAATAATCGATCGATTGCCGTGCAGTATCAAACTCTATGCATGGGAATATGCATTCATTCGCCGCGTTCTGCACGTGCGCAATGATTTGGAGCTGACGATGCTGAAGAAAATTGGTATCGTAACGGTACGCATCGATTCTCAAACAAAGTAACAGGTTTTCATCCTCACATCCATCAGGCTCTCAACACGACACTTTGGGGAGGCATTCCTAGTGTGTACCCTGACTTTGACTCGCTGCTCACAACTAATGAACAATTCACTCAGTGATTGTAGCATTTAGTTCTTTTGCCGCCGCATCTGTGTTCTCGTCGCGACCGCTCACAGCCGACGTCATCTTCCCTGCGATCTCGTTGTTCATGCTTCTTCAATTCCCACTCGCAATGGTGAGTAGCGGTTGTATAGTAATCTCAGCAATCGTTGACCGTGTCACAGTTCAGTCAAGTCACGTCGAATATCATCGAAGCAATTGTCTCCGTCAAACGTTTATCAGGCTTCCTGCACGCTGAGGAGCTGCAACAAAACGCGTTTATAAAGGCGCAGAAAAACAGTCTGAACAGTGGTGACGAGGTCGGCAGTTATCTAGCTACTTGACGGACACTTCAATATTCACATTTGTTACAGGTGCTTTCAATCAAAGGCGGCGAGTTCCAATGGAACAAACAAGATATTACAGCTGCTCTGGAAGATATCAACTTGACGGTGCATAAGGGGGAGTTAGTGGGTGTGCTCGGTCGTGTGGGCAGCGGGAAGAGTAGCTTGCTGTCAGCGATTATCGGGGACATGCGTAAGACGGAGGGTGAGGTGGCTTTGTTCGGCAATGTAGCTTATGCTGCTCAGAATCCTTGGTGCGTTGCATATGTGGCATTTTCTAGCACGTTCGCTTACAGGCGAACAGGATTCTTTCTGCGACCGTTCGCGAAAACATCCTTTTCTCGCACGAGTATGATGAGGTGTTCTATAATCTTGTTATTGAAGGTATGTACATGGTCATTTGTATGAGATCGGGACTGACCTTGCCACAGCTTGTGCTTTGAAGCCCGACTTGGAGCTTCTCCCACAAGGTGACCTGACGGAGGTCGGTGAAAAGGGTATGTTTTTGTCCATCCCTTCTGCGACCCAATATTAATGTTCATGATGTCTATTTCACAGGCATTACTGTAAGTAATTTGAGATAGTAAAGTATCAGTCAAAGGCAAATGATCTCTCAGCTCAGCGGTGGTCAACGTGCTCGCGTCGCGCTTGCTCGTGCGATCTATGCTCGTGCAGATCTGTGAGTGTCGTTTGTTCGTATATGATGTGTTCCTGACGCATGCGTCCTGCAGGGTTCTTCTTGATGATGTCTTAGCTGCCGTGGATTCCCATGTTGCCCGACACGTCTTTGGTGAATAAAAAGCATCCGGTCGCAAGCTGCCTCCTTTGACTAACGAAACATAACACTAACAGATCGTGTCATTGGTCCTCAAGGCTTGCTCGCAACCAAAGCGCGCGTTCTTGTCACCAACAGCATCTCGTATCTCAAGTATTTCGATCAACTTGTTTACCTCCGCCGCGGTATTATCTTGGAGTGTGGTTCGTACAATGACTTGATGTCGAACCCGGATAGTGAAGTACGCAAGCTTGTGTACGTGTGTTTCAATCCATGATGTTTGACGCACTCTAATTTAATTGATAATAGTCACGGTCACGCCACGACCGGTCCCAACTCTGGGGCGACCACACCTGGACGGTCCAGCGGCATGGCCACTCCTACCACAAGCGAGGGAGACATGCAAGCCACCCTTGTTGGAGAGCTTGAATGTGTATCAGAGAAAGTATCACGCAGAGAAAGTTTCAAAAAAGCCGCCCTTGCTGCACCGCCCAAACTGCGCGACGCCACTTCCGAAGGCATCTCGAAGGAGCACAGTGAACAGGGTCGCGTCAAGATGGAAGTGTACTCACAGTACCTCCATGCAGCATCGAAGGAAGGCTTCCTGTTATTTGTGTTTGCCACGGTCCTGCAGCAAGTGGTATCCGTCATGTCAACCTTCATGCTGAGGCTCTGGGGCGAGCATAACCGCGAGATGGGTGCCAACGCGGGACTGACAGACAAGTATTTCCTGGGATATGGATTGTTCAATTTTGTTTCCATTTTCTTAGGCGCATGTGCTGCGCTCCTGATTTGGGTGTTCTGCTCTCTTCGGAGTTCAAAGCATCTTCATGATTCGGTGAGTGTTGCGTTCTAAGTATTGATAACACGTTTTTATTCATTTTCAGATGTTGCATTCGGTTATGCGTGCGCCTCTGAGCTTTTTTGAGACAACGCCAACGGGACGGTGCGTTACATTGATGAACTATCCAATGATTTCTTTAAGTACGAACCATCTCGTATTGCAGTATTTTGAACTTGTTTTCTCGCGACACTTATGTTGTCGATCAAATCCTGGCGCGAGTGATCCAAAATATGGTACGCACGAGCGCGGTCTGCGCTTCTATCGTATTGGTCATCGGGTTCAGCTTCCCGCCCTTCTTGATCGCCGTCGTTCCGCTGGTGTGGTTCTACTCCAAGGTTACCGCGTACGAATGGATTTCTTCTTCTTCCAGAATCATCCTGACACTATTGATAGGTACTATCTCGCGACGTCGCGTGAACTCAAGCGTCTAGATGCGGTGTCCCGCTCACCCATCTTTGCGTGGTTCTCGGAATCCCTGGCCGGGATTTCCACCATTCGGGCCTTCGACCAGCAATCTGTTTTCATTGCCAGCAACGCGCGCCGTATTGATCGCAACCAGTTGTGCTACCTCCCCAGTACTTCCGTCAACCGCTGGCTTGCAGTCAGACTGGAGTTTGTTGGAGCAATCATTATCTTCGTCACGGCTGTTTTGACTGTCGCTGCCGTTGCGACCAGTGATGTTGATGCGGGATTGGTTGGTCTGGTTCTGTCGTATGCTTTGAGTACAACAGGTTCACTGGTAGGTGGCTGTACTTCCGTCTCGAGGTATTGCTCACTAAGCGACCACAGAACTGGTTCGTCCGCTCCGCGAGTGAAGTAGAACAGAACGTGGTTAGCGTCGAGCGTATCGTCCACTATGCGAAAGACCTTGAGCCGGAAGCTCCTTATGAGCTCCCTGAGAACAAGCCTGCCTCTGAGTGGCCCACTGCTGGGGAAGTTGAATTCCGGTGAGTTCGTGATGTTATATGCACGAACTTGTATTGAATTTGTCTGGTTTAGGGAGTACTCGGCACGGTATAGGCCTGAGCTTGATCTGGTCCTGAAGGATATTTCTATGACCATAGTCAGTTATATGCGCCAGTTTTCTCACAAATGCACGCTGACCGCAAATGCTCCAGAAACCCAAAGAGAAAATAGGAATATGTGGCCGGACTGGGGCAGGAAAATCATCCGTAAGATATTTGCTGTCAGTTTTTGGACTGTGACGATGATTCTTGCAGCTTCTTCTCGCCCTCTTCCGGATCATCGAGCCTGCATCTGGAACTATCTTCATTGATAAAGTAGACATAAGCAAACTTGGCCTGCATGACTGTGCGTCTTCCTAACGATATCCGTGTAGGCACCCTTTGATTGAGCTATCATTAGTGCGTACCGCGATATCCATCGTTCCTCAAAATCCAGACTTGTTCGAGGGCACATTGCGAGAGAACATCGACCCTGTTGGCGAGCACCAGGACGTTGACATATGGACCGCTCTGGAACATGTCCGTTGTGAAATATGCGTATGCTCCTGATGCTTACTGACAACGCTTCTACAGGCCCATCTGAAGGCATATATAGAATCACTCCCTGGGGGACTAGATGCTCCAGTTCAGGAGGCCGGATCATCGCTTTCAGCAGGTCAGAGGCAGCTTTTGTGTTTCGCGAGGGCGCTCTTGCGCAAGGTACGTGCGTTCGTTTGAATTGATTATAAGGTTTGACGACAGACACTCCCTAGACTAAAGTGCTCGTCCTCGATGAAGGTTTGTATGAGCGAAATCCTGTTCTTCTGCAAGGCTAATGTGCATGATTCTGTAGCAACATCTGCAGTTGATCTAGATACCGACCGAGCAATTCAAGAAATTATCCGGGGTCCAATCTTCCGCGATGTAACCATTCTAACCATTGCGTATGCCACATGTCCATCGTCGACGACTAGTAATGCTAATATGGTCAACATATAGGCACCGCTTAAACACGATCATGGAGTCTGACAGGGTTCTAGTTTTAGATGCTGGAAGGGTAAGAACACTCGAATGTCGTTCATTCGTGATGTATTGATTGGCCAATTTAGATTGCAGAATTCGAGTCTCCACAGAAGTTGCTGGAGAACAAGAGTTCCATCTTCCGTTCTATGGCGATGGAGGCTGGTCTAGTTCAGGCCCAGCTTGATGATGAAGTGAAAGCATAGGTGAACGTGCCTAATCATGCACACATTTTTATGTGCCGAGATGTTTGTTCGAGAATATAATGTTATAACCACACATATTTGTTCTTGCTCTCGTCTTTCTCTGTCAATTATCTAACTGCATTCATTGATGAAGCTAAGGAGGGCTGGCCCGATGCTCGGCTCACAATATATCGCAGAAGCATCATATGGGCGGCAGATAATGCTAGCGCGGCTTTGTTGCTACCCGATGCACCCTCACGTGCAATGATAGTGCCAAGACGTCAACAACATCGTCATCCCCGCTTGCTCTCCACGAATCTATAAAAACGAGCATTACTGATGATCGATGAACGTTGAACGGCCACCAAGCGGGATCATTTGGCACCATCAGGTCCATCTCCTCGTTCCCAGCGTCCTCATGCTTCCTCGGCTCGCCGCCTCTGGAACTTCTTCATTCCCTCTCGATATCGTCTTACTGCAAGGGGGTCTATTGCGATGCAACAACACCCCAAACGCCGTCTCTTTTGGAAGAAGAAAAAAAGGTAAGCTGTGTATTATGTGTCCCTCGTTATGCTGTACTTATACATCACCCAATCTTCAGAGAGTCTACGTAGCGCCTCCCCCTGTGAAGACTAACTCGAAAGCTCAGACTGGTCAGCCGCCCTCAGCAGTAGCTCAGCCTATATCGCAGCCACATTCGACTCCTCAGCGTCAGCCTCAGGCACAGACGGCGACACAACAACCTATTCAAGAAGAAGACCGAGATTGTTGGGGCAATGTTTGCCTCGCACTTTGGTGTATACCCTTTGGTAGTGACTGATCTTTGGATACCCGATTTACGCTAACTCTCTTGCTTGGTTGGGCTACATGTGTTGTTTATGTCGGTATCTCGTTGACACTCCATTCCAACTGTTGGTACGCAAGTCTTAGCCAGATGTTCGACATTCGAATTCTGAAGGTACCAGCACTTTGTCTGTCGTGCTCACGCATCCGAACGGTTGGGAAGGCCAACGACAATAACAACAGGTAACAGGTTAGACGCGCTGTCGAGATCGCTGGTCTCATCTAAGGAGGAGTAATCTCACATGCACCTCTTGACTGAGAGCGAAGCAAGTCTTCCTTTCTGTTTTACCGGCATGGTTGCAACGGATATAATCTCTAAAAACCTTATAGATGTGCCAGATTACTCGGACGAGGAGGAAGATCGATCAGACGGCCAGGGAGTCATCGTTGTTGATGCCGGAGGCGGAACTATCGATCTCAGTACCTACTCGATGAAGTTATCTCCGACTTCGTTCGAGGATATTGCCCTAGCTGAATGTGAATCCCGCTTTCCTGCGTTATTAACGGCATATAGCTTGTTCAAATACTATGCTGTATCCCTCGAAACGTATTCTAAACACTCCGAATAAATCAACATTTGAATATCCAACTGCGCACAGGCCCTGGAGTGGTGAAATCTTTCTGATCAAGCTATCCACGTTCTAGCACAGAAACATTCCTATGACGATCCACATCGGTCACGACGATGAAATCGCCAAAGACCTAATCAGAGGCTAAAGACAAGTAGGTTCTTTAATGCTGTACCATCAACCAATCCCACAACTTATCGTCCTGGTTTGATCCTGTTACACCCGGCAGGTGGTAGTGATATCCACCAATCACCTCTCCGTCTACAGCCTCTGCATTCTCAAATTCAGACCACATTTCTGCATGATCTGGAGGCTCTGCATTCTCGAATCTTGATCTTCAGTGGGTGTTCTGGGGGTGTTGGTGTACTATGTAGTCCTGGCTCACGTGAGACATTGACGGTATTCCATACCACGGCTACTCTACGAACAGCGGATGAAGAAGTCGATTTTATCACTCCAATCGGCATCGACTACATGATGGATTTAGTGTGGTACGTTTCGCATCGGGCTTTATTGTATTCAACGTCGAAGGTGTACGCTGGCAACTAGATTGAAGAACAACAAGTCAGGCTTGATGCGGTCATTCACGGTGCTTCCCACTCTTCTTTTCCCCCGTGTTGCTATCTTGAGTATAGGGATGGTGTTGTATCTTCACCAGATATCAATCGCGGAATTTCGATCATGATGCACATATCTCTGGCTGTGAAAAGTGATGCCTCTCACCACCGCACCAACTCCACGATGCAAATTCGAAAATACTGCGCCCATCATGCATGATGACCAGCATGTGAGAATGGCATCAGAACAAAGGTGACAAAATCACGAACAGTTCTAGATGTTCTTTCATCTTTTGCGGTGTTCAAGTTCTGCCCGTGCAAATGTGTTATGACCAACTTGTTATACGTACGTTGAGCCCCACATCTTGAAATCATTATTTATTCCCTGCACAGGCTGACAACACTGGCTATTAGAATGAAGATCGACAATATAAGAGATCTACTGGTACCTGTAGTGAACGACCTCGATAGAAGGGAAGACACTGCCCCACCAACACTAAACGATTCTGCCGTTGGCGCGGGGTGCGGTGATCGCTGGCATCAAATTCGCATCACCGGCAAAGTTTTATTCAAGGCCCGCTACATCACTTCGAACGTGACATCATATCCATCGACAGGAACGGATATCATCCCTCGATCTCATTTTGGTCATCCAAGCACTGCATGGTGGTGGTATATCTAGCACAAATATCATCGTCGTATGTCCACCAAGTTTCCCGCTCCCTCACATCCATCCTCTAACAGTATGACACTAGTCTCAGACGACCCTAGTTATTGGCCACTCATCAACGCTTGGCGTATTGGCAGCTATTTTGTAGGTTCGTGAAGAGCAGTCAGATTTCGGTGCTCATGCCTTGACCTGACCTTGATTGTGGTTTTCCAGTTGCCGCCTTCGTTGGAGTGGTATATGATTGGGGTGAGCATCATAACATTAGAGAATTGCTGATTTCCTACACGTATTTCCAGCCCTTACGTTTGGACAAGAGGTATGTTGATACTATGACCAGAGCAGCCATCTCGCTAAGATTTGTTTGTAGGTCGAACTGATCTGGGTGAGCACAGTTCCACGTCAGAAGAACAATATTGATTTGCGACAGAGACAACGCTGGTCCCTGATGACCGTCCTCTATCTGAGTGTACGTACCTTGCCTGTTGTGAATTTGTGCTGACTTGACAATATCCTAGGTGCGCTATCTTGGAATATTCTTTGTCATGTATGTTCAGAAGGTTTGACAATTGGTGTCGTGCTAATCAGCCAACTCGCATACTCAGCCTGAACATCCTGCGTATGTCTTCTTGCATTCACCGTGTTTGTTTTTTCTGACCAGTGGCATACAGGTGTTCCGACGATTTTGTTGACAGATGCAGTGAGTCTTCTGCACCGATGTCTGCTATTCCCATTCAATTAACCACGGCACCATGTAGGGGTGAGTGTCATTCTTGACCAGCTTCTTCGTTTACTATCATAACTGCTACAGATGTGAGTCTCTTTTTAGTGTGTGATCCACCCAAGGCCCATCACTAACCGTATTTCTCAGGCCGGATAGTGTACCTCTTGTGGGATTGGACGAATGTTGTGGCATTTCCAATGCTGTGTGGTGAGTTGTGCAGTTACAAGACCTATGATATTGAATTGACCGAAACATGTTGCAGTCATCATGATCACTCGGTTACATGCCATGTATCAACGATCCACAAGGATCCTGGTATTTCTCGTCGTCGTGTGCTTGGCTGTCAACATTTTCGACGGAGTGGTCATGGTAATGACAACGAGAGATTCTCCAGGGGGTACACTTAATTGTGAATGAAAACCGTGCATGGCGCTCATTGATGAATACCAGAGGAACTCGTTCTCTCTGGCACCTATGCATGCACGATTGACTATGCGGACAGTTCCCTACTTCTGAATTCCATGACTTGGATACTTGGCACTATCTGGGAGGTCCTTGTGCTGTGTCTCGCAGTCTGGATTGCTGTAAAACACTTCCGTGAACTGCGACAACATTCAGCAGGAGGGATTATCGGCGACTGTTTCACGGTGTTGATAAAATCCCACGTGCTTTACTTTGCGAGGTGAGTTCATATTGTGAATATTGTTCCCTTTTCCGCTGAATGATTGAACGCGCTAGTTATGTTGCCTTGTCTTGCTTCACCGTCATTGTTGAGTTGTCTCCGACGATCTTAGCCGTATGTCAATCTTTTGCTGACCTCTGCGTGCGACCGCGGTTCATCATTTCTATAGGACACATATTCCCTCGACACACAGATTTTGCTTGGTTTTAATCAGATTTTGATAGTCATACAGTCCTTTGTGCTAGGACCACGCCTCATCCTTAGCGTTCGAGAATATCACGCTCGGCTCGTGGCTGACTCTGACGCAGCAACCGGCATGACCTCAATCGCTTTCCAGGAGCGCGTGCATATATCGACAGGCAGTGGCGTGTAGCACGGGAGATGCTCGATGAAGTTAACGGTAATCTGGTGCTATGCAGGGAGCAGGAGAATTTGGCTCTTTTTCTTGATTTTCAAGTTTCGTCGTTGTACTTATTTATTTGGTGCTGCAGCGCAGATTTCAAGGAGATCTAGACATAGTATTTGCAAATATTTCGTCGTAATATTTATTCAAGTTATTTGTTCCGCAGACCATAATTGACGCTCCGGATTCGAGAGAGGCAAGTTATGCCATTTGGCTTGTTCATTTATTTGCGTTCTCGTTCAGATCAGGCTCCTACCGTACAAAAAACTAACAACGTCATAACAGATCAAGACATCGACTCGAAAATCGTACCCATTCATGTGATGATAACGTAGGCGAGCACCTCGCAGACTATACAACTCCCCGCCACCCATTTAAAACATCGATACATTAACTGCGGGCTGCATGATGAAATTAGTATGGTGCATTATGCAATCAGTTTTCGTCAGTCGCCTTAGGCCAACCCTGGGCCCTTACCACATCTTTTGCATTTACGCTTTCAGACTCAAGTCTCCAGGCAGAGTTAAGCGAGACGGAGACGCATTTCATTCGGAAGCCCTGACTCGCGTTTCTTAGTCAGATCCTTGTGCACAGAGCTTATAGTTGTAATTTGCGATGGGCTGCCAATAGGGAAAGGGGCTATCGGGCATAAGCGTCTGGGACGCGAGGAGCGATCTTTGATGGCCCGTGGGCGTGACTGCACTCGGATGGAGGAATCTTTGGTGGGTAGATCGCAGATAGAAAGCCAGTGCAACCTTGTGAAGTGAACACTCTGTTCGCGGAATGAGATAGCAGAGCAATGACAAGATGGGGCTGGGTGATGGGTCAGTGGGACGTAAATCAAGGGTGTGTTAAAAAAACAAAGCCAGGGTTGTTGAGGTTGAGGCACGTTTCATTAGCCTGGCGACTACCAAACTTCGCAGAAGCTAGATTGAACAGTGTCACGGGGCGACAGGGCAGGGATTAGTGGCGCATTCGTAGTTCTTTATGGATTTACCGACATCCTTCTTGTCCTGCAACCTGCGATAGCATAAGAGAAGGACAGCGTACAAAAGTATGTACTCGTTCCATTCAACGACATCCTGATCTCCATATGCAGATTGGTTGCTTATCTACCATTCAGCATCATGAGCCTGCACTGTCACGGTGAAGCCAGCTGGTGGTGCGGACGCCTTGAAGAAAGTCGATTCGTGGTGAATGGGGATACATAGCACATGATAGCAATTTGGACGAGGTTTGCAAGTCGGGGTAGCTGGCCAGTCGGAAATGAGTGGAATTGCGTGTGCAAGGCATATGACACCGTGCAAGGACGGGAATTAATCATAGTACTAGTAGTACTATGATACTTAAATACAGTGTGTTGCAAATGACTTTAGAATGCACGAGAATTTTTTTGCGAGCTCGGTGTTTGTAAAATAGTTTGTAATAGCCAAATGCGGGACTTTCTGTCACATCAACGACTCGAAAATATTGTCTCCTCCACCTCAGGGTGTATCAATTGCACTCTGACACTCGTATCTTCAATCTGAACTTAACGGCACTCCCTCTGTCAATACTGTCAATACTAAATAATTATAATATATGGCCTTGTCCGCAACGATTTTGTGTAACTCTGGCCATACTCGCGTGATTTTGCAAGACATTGAGCTAGTTTTCTAAGAAAATTCCAACAGTTTTCCATTGTTCATATTCTGGCGCATTCTGAATTGAATTCAGGAGTGATCAGAGATGCTAAATATTAAATATTTTAATCTGTTCGCGCATCGGCTCTAGTCTGAATCTACATACTTAGGGAAAATCACACTTTTCTGCGCGGTAACTCTCCGCTGGACTCAACACGTCAATTTTGAAAGAAAAAACCAGCGGGTCTTGTACTTTCAATATCAGGCTATCTATCCGTCAAGAAATTATATTTTTATGTGGATGTGTTGTAGAGATACAGATGTTTTAAAATGTGCAAACTCTAGTTGATCATCAGATAATCTAGCCTGGCTGGCAGTGGCGTGAAAACCGGAATGATTGACCAAGTGTGACACAAGTCACACGTCAAAACAAAGGAACAAACACAATTTTGAAAACGAGATTCTAAAGTCATTTGCAACACACTGTAATGATAAGGTCTCAAATTTACCGACTCAAGTGTCAATGTGTCACAGCGAACACGTGACAGAGCGTGTCATTTGTGACGCGACCTGCTTCCGCGCTCCGGTGTGAACGCGACTATACCACGCGCACCCTGCTATAGCACGGACGACCATGGCACCCGCTAAACCCTCAAAGACCATTGCAGCGACAGGGAAAGACCTTCGCTCTTTCTTCGGTGGTGCTGGAATCATTCGGTGAGTGTTGCGTTCAAAGTATTGATGACGTGTTTTTATTGATGTTCAGATGTTGCATTCGGTTATGCGTGCGCCTCTGAGCTTTTTTGAGACAACGCCAACGGGACGGTGCGTTACATTGAACTATTCAATGATTTCTTTAAGTACGAACCATCTCTTGTTGCAGCATTTTGAACTTGTTTTCTCGCGACACATGTTGTCGATCAAATCCTGGCGCGAGTGATCCAAAATATGGTACGCACGAGCGCGGTCTACGCTTCTATCGTATTGGTCATCGGGTTCAGCTTCCTGCCCTTCTTGATCGCCGTCGTTCCGCTGGTGTGGTTCTACTCCAAGGTTACCGCGTACGAATGGATTTCTTCTTCTTCCAGAATCATCCTGACACTATTGATAGGTACTATCTCTCGACGTCGCGTGAACTCAAGCGTCTGGATGCGGTGTCCCGCTCACCCATCTTTGCGTGGTTCTCGGAATCCCTGGCCGGAATTTCCACCATTCGGGCCTTCGACCAGCAATCTGTTTTCATTGCCAGCAACGCGCGCCGTATTGATCGCAACCAGTTGTGCTACCTCCCCAGTACTTCCGTCAACCGCTGGCTTGCAGTCAGACTGGAGTTTGTTGGAGCAATCATTATTTTCGTCACAGATGTTTTGACTGTCGCTGCCGTTGCGACCAGTGATGTTGATGCGGGATTGGTCGGTCTGGTTCTGTCGTATGCTTTGAGTACGACAGGTTCACTGGTAGGTGGCTGTACTTCCGTCTCGAGGTATTGCTCACTAAGCGACCACAGAACTGGTTCTCCTCGCTTTCAGCAGGTCAGAGGCAGCTTTTGTGTTTCGCGAGGGCTTTCTTGCGCAAGGTACGCGTCTTCGTTTTGATTGATTGTGAGGTTTGACGGCCGACATTCCCTAGACTAAAGTGCTCGTCCTCGATGAAGGTTTGTATGAGCGAAGTCCTGTTCTTCTGCAAGGCTGATGTACATGATTCTGTAGCAACATCTGCAGTTGATCTAGATTCCGACCGAGCGATTCAAGAAATTATCCGGGGTCCAATCTTCCGCGATGTGACCATTCTAACCATTGCGTATGTCACATGTCCATCGTCGACGACTAGTAATGCTAATATGGTCAACATATAGGCACCGCTTAAACACGATCATGGAGTCTGACAGGGTTCTAGTTTTGGATGCTGGAAGGGTAAGAATACTCGAATGTCGTTCATTCATGATGTATTGATTGGCCAATTTAGATTGCAAAATTCGAGTCCCCACAGAAGTTGCTGGAGAACAAGAGTTCCATCTTCCGTTCTATGGCGATGGAGGCTGGTCTAGTTCAGGCCCGGCCTGATGATGAAGTGAAAGCATAGGTGAACGTGCCTAATCATGCATGTCCGAGAATCTAATGTTATAACTACACATATTTGTTCTTGCTCTCGTCTTTCTCTGTCAATTATTTACTTGCATTCATTGATGAAGCTCAGGAGGGGTGCCCCGATGCTCGGCTCACAATATATCGCAGAGGCATCATATGGGCGGCAGATAATACTAGCGTGGCTTTGTTGCTGCCCGATGCACCCTCACGTGCAATGATAGTGAGACGTCAACAACATCGTCATCTCCGCTTGCTCTCCACGAACCTCTAAAAACGAGCATTACTGATGAACGTTGAACGGCCACCAAGCGGGATCATTTGAGACGTAGTAGGTCATATCAGAATGGAGGGATACTATCGAGTCCGTGCGCCAGCTACCACGTGCACTGGTGCACTGGCCGTTTCAAATTGGAATCCGAACTCATGAACCACAACCGTTGATTGATCACAGCAAGTAGAAAGGGGATAGTCATGTGTAAGAACTTCGCCCTCGTTCGAAGCATAGTGCTACTTTGAATTAACTTACATTTTCAGGTCTGCAATAGTCTGCAATCCGCGGAATATTTGAACACCGAAAAAATCTGTTCGTACATGATTTTTGTGGTAATTGAGGGGTTCTGCCACTGATCAAAGCGGGTGGCGAGCACAGTCGCAAGATTGTTCAACACATTCATCAGGGAATTTATGAGGTCCGAGATATTGTAGACTTGACAACTACAGGCCTAGACCGCTTCATCGAATCCTGTACGTTCTTTCATCTTTTGCTGTGTTCAAGTGGAAGTTCCGCCCGTGCAAACTATGTACGCTGCCCCACATCAATCAGTTTGTCCGATTAAGCACAGGCGTTTTTGCAATCCAATCCACGTCTCTACCCTACGAATAACGCGAGTAGAGCTCGACTCCTGCATTCGCATCAACTGCATAGTGAAGTTATGGTGGCATGTTTTGCAGTTTTTATTTGTTTCAGCGTTGAACGTTGAGGTTGTGCGTTGGCAGCTGTATGTTATCTTGTTCATGAGGAATCACGAACAGTTAAAGTTACATTCTTTCATCTTTTGCTGTGTTCGAGACTTTGTTCTGCCCGTGCAAACCAATTTGATTTTTGTACGCTTCCCCACATCAATCAGTTTGTCTAATCAAGCACAGGCGTTGTTCCAATCCAATCCATGTCTCTACCCTACGAATAACGCGAGCAGAGCTCGACTCCTGCATCAACTGCATAGCGAAGTTATGGTGGCTTTTGCCGTTTTCATTTAATTGAGCGTTGAACGTTGAGGGTGTGCGTTGACAGCTGTATGGTAAGTGTGTTATCTGGCATCATGATTGATCTTATGCAAGGAGATCTATTAAGTAGTACGTACTAGAACCAGCTGGTACTACGATCACTTTCGCATCACCGGCATTTTATTAAAGGCCCGCTACATCACTTCGAACATGACATCATATCTATTGAGTGGAACGGATATTATCCCTCTATCTCATTTCAGTCATGCAAGCACTGGATGGTGGTGGTATATCTAGCACAAATATCATCGTCATATGGCCACCGAGTTCCCCGCTCCCTCACATCCATCCTCTAACTGTATGACCCTTTTTTTTTTTTTTTGGTCTGATTTATGTCTTATTGGGGTGTACTACCCTATGTTAGACATTGCTATCAAGGTTTTTAGGGGAACACCTGTGTTCCCCACCGCGTCTCAAATCCTGCGAATGCCCCGATGTACTCATCGGTCCTCCGTTCCTGCCGGCAGTTTTAGACGCACAGATCTTCTACTCCACGGGGCCTGGGTTGTACTGGTCGTGGTTGTTGTTGTCGCTGACGTGAATTTTGGTGGATGTGACATGTACTCGGTACGCCGTGGCGAACGTGTACGAGGGGAAGTGGGAGGTGGCGGGAACGAAGATAATGAAGATAGCCTCTTTTACCGACTGAGATCCCGTTAGATTGACGTTGATGGGCGTTGATGGGCCAATGTCCCCTCGGCGGCGAGTGAATAAATATATAGATATATATATATATGTGCGTGAGTGTCGTTAATGGTGCGTGAGTGTCGTTGATGGTGCGTGTAAGTCTGGATGTGTCTGGTTCTGCGTGTGGTGTCATTATTTTCAATCAGGATGGAGGGGCTACGTCACCGAAGGAAGGTTTGAGTCTGCCGGAGCTGTTGACGAACTTGATGAGTGGGCTAATCGCGTTGACGTTGCTTAGCAGATATGGGATGGATGAAGCGTTGCGTTTGAGTGCGTTGGTGAGTATGAAGCGCTCGCGAGCATACTGCGGGCAATCTAACAGAAAGTGTTTGACGGTTTCCGTGGTCCCTGCGCAGTGGGGGCAGTCTGGGGACGGTATTTTTCCCATGCGGTGGAGGTGAAAGTTGAGTGAGACGTGGTTCGTGCAAAGCCAAAGAACGAGGCTGATATGGCGTTTTGGGAGGTGTTTAACAAGGGATATGAAGGAGCCGGAAATGGTACGAGGGTCGATGCGGGTAGTGTGTTGAAAGCGGGGTGATTGAAGCCAGTGTCTGGCCCAGCGTTCGGAGGATTCCTGTCGTTGCGCTTGCTTCAGAGCGGATACGCTACTGGGTAGGATTCCTTTACGAAGGTATGGGGGGAGATGTTCTTTTGGGCTGTTCTCCTCACTACTCTTAGCGGCCTTTTTCGCTTCTTCGTCAGCCACTTCGTTCCCTGCAACTCCGTCATGCCCAGATATCCACCTAACCACCACCCCAAAGTTTCTATCACCTCTGTTAGCTTTTTTCAACTTCGTTATTGATCTGCGGAAGTGGTCTATCAGGTAGTGACCGGGCTTAGTGGTGAAAAGATCACCGGATTTAATGGTAGCCTGATTGTCCACGTATATCGAAATTGGGAATTTGACGTCGTCTTCGTCTGCTAGTAATTGCGCTGCGAGCGTTAAGCCCACTGCCTCCGCTTCATAAACTGTATGTTCTTCCAATGAACCCAAGTGGAATCTGAGGGTGCGAGGTTGAGTACGTCCTGTGCGAAAGAGCGCAGCCGCTGCCCCAGCGTTGCCTTCCAGTCCCGAACCGTCACAGTAAATTTTGATGGAGTCTTGATTGTCGTTGTGGTCTTTTATGGCGTTTTCGCGTGAGTTGGCTATGGAGATGGAGTATGGGGCTGAGGTGTTGGGTGGGCGACGGTTATGTGTGATGGTTTCAACGGAGTCCACGTCTATTTCGGAAGCTCGATAGAGATGATGAAGGGAGGAACGGTGGCGTTTGACGAAACGTTTGGCGGCGCGTCGTACTGGAGTATAGAGCGGGTGAGAGGGAGGGTGCGCGGCTAATCGAATTGCGGCTTGGTAGCATAGATTCTGCATGCGATGTTCCACTGGGAGTAGTTTGGCGTGTACCTCGAGTGAGTCAGTAGCTGTAGAACACATAGCACCTGTGATACTTAGCACGGCGATTCGTTGTACTCGTCCTATACGTTTCGCGACTCCAATGGAACCTTTTTGCTTGATGTCTGAGTTGCCGGTGAATAATGGTCTGAACCATAAGTCGACTGCATATAACATTTTGGGCATCGCGACCGCTAGATAGATTTGACGCATTAGTGATAAGGGAATCCCGGTAGAGGTAGATGAAAGGCGGCGCAGTTGAAACACGTAAGCAGTGCCCTTTGCGATGGCGTAGGCAATGTGAGGCTGCCATCTGAGTGCTTGGTCGAGTATAACGCCTAGGAACTTGTGCGTGGATGTTGGCGTTATCGTAGTACCTCGTGTAATAAGCGGAGGGCGTTCTTTGGTATGGTTCATCGAAAAATCTACCAGTGCGAATTTTGACGTCTCGAATTTTGAATTATGATTGAGTGCCCATTCATAGCCACCTCCAGCCCTTTCCAGCATGCTCTTGAGGGTCGCGTGAGTGTCGTGGAATGATTTACCTATAGCCAAAAATGCGGTGTTGTCGACGAAGGCGAGAGTGCGCTCTTTTTTCTCGTGTCCTATGGCGATATCCACAAGGTCTGAATCGTAGATGATGTAGAGGCAGGCCATAGTGCTAGAATGATACATCAAATATGGCTTATAAGCCTAAAAATGTGATACATCCAGTGGTTAGCCTATCCATTCAGTGGTGATATATCATCTGTCCATCCATATACACAGCCGCATTTTTCGCATTTTTGAAACTCAGCCATTTGTCATTCCAGCATATGTTATAACTGGCATCCAAAAGCAGAAATTCACAAAACATATCCCATTTTGGTCACCTCCTCATGTCAGGCCTCCCCACATTATTCCCACACTCCGCATTTTCGCATTTTTAGCCACCCACTGTGGGAATTACCCCACAACACCCAAAACATCATCCCAATATGGAATACCACATAATTATAATTATTCCCACACCCTCCCCATCTCACTGCAGCTTCACCACTACACCACAATAGGTCCCCCCTTGTATCTAAGTAGTAGTTCAGTATATATATGTATAATATTATATAATAGACCGCTTTTTTTGTCTATTTGTGTGCCTGCTCCACCTCCAGGGCCTTTTCAAAATAGGGTAGGGTACAGAACATTTTCGCACTTTTGCCCCTTTGATAGGGGTGTGTTCTATTATATTCAGAACATGTTTATGAGCATATATGAGTAGATTCCCATCTTTATTTCACCCTCTGAAGTGTCCTAAATCAATAGATATAGCACATATGCAATAAAACACAGAATATGCTCCCATTTAATTATTTCTAGGTGAACAGACTTGGAAAATTTATTTCCAGCATCTATTCAACAATAGGAACAATGTATCAGGAGCCCAGGACCATAGGGTGCTCCCCTGTTACATGGTGTGCCCCCCTCTCCTGGTGGTTTACCCCCTGTGAAATTTTTTCCTGTAGGACCGGACCTCAATTGAGGTAGGGGGTCTATTTCTATGTATATTTGAGGTAGTTCTATCATATAGCTGACCCAGGCCACACATAGGATCCTGCTACAGGAACAAAAACATAGAAAATCGCATTTTTGACACTTTTGATGTTTTTAGTATCCTATTCTTGCACAAATAATACAACCTGTTCATATATCATTATTATAGTATATATACTTGCTCTTTGTGACAAGGATCAGCTCAAAATAGGCCAGGGGTTTGAGTTAGTGTGAATGCTTGCTATTTCTACTGATAAGGAGCCCATACTTTCAATACATTGAAATTTAATAATCAGACACCTGGAGTAGATGTCAAATATATTTAGTATCATAGGCCTAAATGTACAGAACAATCCAACAAGAATTGAGTGCTGAGGAAGTGAAATAGATAAGGAATTGAGTGTGGGAAAGTTCAAATACCCAAAACATCGAAAATGGTCAGTTGGGCAGTAGTTGGACTTTAATGCTGGGTCAACTCAGATATATACCACATTCCTTCTACCACCCTCTAGCCTCAGGGCAGTATGTAGTATAGGTTCCTTTAGTAGTTTACAATGTATCCTACATATTTTTAATGAAATATTTGAGCTGTACCATATAGAAATGTAACTTTGTGTGAAAAGATGTCAATTGTCACTTTTCACACATATGTGATTTTACTTGTCATTCAGTCAGTCCTTGATGGATCTTTCTAAAACTTCAAATATATCTTCAGGGCAATATATAGGATGTACCCCAGGTCTTTGATCACTTATCACAGGCTTGAATACTATGTAGGCTTCTTATCAGTAGAAATACCCCCTGTACATCATATATCACATTTGCACCCTATGTAGGGCTGATCCTTGGCATAGAACATATGTGTGAATGTACTACTAATTATATATGAGCAGGGCTGGTCATTTGTGCAAGTATAAAACACTGAAAAACATCAAAAGTGTCAAAAATGCGATTTTCTATGTTTTTGTTCCTGTAGCAGGATCCTATGTGTGTCCTGGGTCAGCTGTATGATAGAACTACCTCAAATATACATAGAAATAGACCCCCTACCTCAATTGAGGTCCGGTCCTACAGGAAAAAAATTCACAGGGGGTAAACCACCAGAAGAGGGGGGCACACCATGCAACAGGGGAGTATCCTATGGTCCTGGGCTCCTGATACATTGTTCCTATTGTTGAATAGATGCTGGAAATAAATTTTCCAAGTCTGTTCATCTAGAAATAATTAAATAGGAACATATTCTGTGTTTTATTGCATATGTGCTATATCTATTGATGTAGGACACTTCAGAGGGTGAAATAAAGATGGGAATCTACTCATATATGCTCATAAACATGTTCTGAATATAATAGAACACACCCCTATCAAAGGGGCAAAAGTGCGAAAATGTTCTGTACCCTACCCTATTTTGAAAAGGCCCTGGAGGAGGAGCAGGCACACAAATAGACAAAAAAAGCGGTCTATTATATAATATTATACATATATATACTGAACTACTACTTATATATGAAGGGGGGGCTATTGTGGTGTGGTGGTGAAGCTGCAATGATGTGGGAAGGGTGTGGGAATAATTGATATTGTGGGGTGACCAAATTGAGCAATGTTTTTGGTGTTGTGGGGTAATTCCCACACTGTGTGGCTGAAAAATGCGGAAATATGATGTGTGGGAATAGTGTGGGGAGGCCTGACATGAGGAGGTGACCAAAATGGGATATGTTTTGTGAATTTCTGCTTTTGGAAGCCAGTCATAACATATGCTGGAATGACAAATGGCTGAGTTTCAAAAATGCGAAAAATGCGGCTGTGTATATGGATGGACAGATGATATATCACCACTGAATGGACTGAATGGATAGGCTGGACACTGGATGTATCACATTTTTAGGCTTATAAGCCAGTTTGATATATTCACCCTACACAATCAAGTGGTAGAGGATCATGGAGAGCGGGTCCCCTTGCCCGATGCCGTTTGCTATTGGGATCCATTCTGATAGGTGTCCGTCGAACTTTAGCTGTGTGCGTCGGCTCGTTAGTAAACATTCCGTGAATCCTACTAACGATTCTGGGATTCTGCGGCTGCGCATGTTATGCAAGAGGTGGTCAGTGACTGCGTTAGGGAAGGCACCCTCGATATCTAAGAAAAGGGCTGAGACTACGTTACCTTGACGCCATGCGTCCTTAATCGTGGATTCTAAGAGATGAAGCGAATCGGAAGTCGACCGTCCTGGGTGCCCCCCAAAATGTGTGTTGGGTAGGAGGTTGTGGTGCTCTAGAACATATGTTAGCTGGTCGGCTACTACTGCTGTTAACAGTTTGCACGTCGTATTGAGTAAAGCGATTGGGTGATAAGCTTTGGTTATCGAGTAGTCAGGCTTTCCGGGCTTGCGTAACACCACTGTCGTGAAGTCCCTCCAAGGGGCGTAATAGGTCTTGAGGGTGTATACTGCTCTGAAAAGGGGGAGTAGATAGGGTATTAGCAAGGAGGCGCAGCGAATAGGGGTGATGTTACAAAGCCCATCTGGGCCTGGGGCTTTGTAAGGCCCCAGTTTCGATATACTTCTCTTGATTTGGTCCTTGGTGATGGGTGCGGGCGTAGGGACTGCTTCCGGGTAGGTTTGGTCTGCTGGCACCGAAGAGACGGCTGGAGGAGGGGGAAAGAAGGCTTGCGCCAATGCAGCACTCTTCTCTTCATTGGTTTCTGCGGTACCTCCTCCTGGCTTGTTCAGAGTCGGAATGCGAGAGGTGCCGCTTTCTCCTGTGGCGGCCGTGAGGTTAGTGCTGCCGTGGTCCGGTTCGGTCAGGTTCACAGAGGGATGAGCGAAAACCAA